ACTTCAGGTTTTTTCTGTTTCATGTTCTAGATACCGCCAATTGTTACGTCATTATCACAGACAAGCACGTGTTTATTCGTAACAATTCAATTATATTGGTATCTTAATTATACGTACCGGTATCGTCTTTTGCGTGCGCTCTCGTCTACCGGCCCGCGAATATCATTCCGCTCTTATAATTTTGGCCCTGTCAATCAACTTTGGGAACCCCTGAAATAGATAGATGCTATATCTTGCAATATCTCTATTTCTAATTATTGCCTTGATGAAGTATAGACATCAAAAACGTAAGCTGAACTTCTTCCCGGTTGCGTACGTACATACCTACACCGGGTTAATATTGTTAATGGGTATTTTGGTTTGGCATAGTCTACCCAATTTATCACTAATGAATGTGGTGGTCTTGTGTACATACGTTATCGAACATGGCCCACAGAAAATCGAGTCTTTTATGCTATTATTATGGATCGTTTAAGCTTGGCCCGTGTGTATAATTCACAAAACCACTTTCTAATTTGAACTTGATGGTATTGTGTTGTCACAGAGACTGAATAATGCAAATCAAAACAATGATTGTGAAATACCAATCTGTATTATCATTGAGCAACCACGGGTTCCTATATAAGAATGAATACACTAATAAATTGTCCATTAAAGTTTTTTTCACTAAACATAACTTTTTCAACATAATTCCTCCTCTCTAACCATATTTACATTAAAGCAACTCAGCGACTCGAATAATCACTTTAAAATATTTGGAAAATATTAAACAAAAAAGGCGATGCTTTATATAAAAGAAATTTCAATAGTACCATATATCATAAATAATTTTGTAAACACTTAAGAAGCAAAAAAGTCGCCGCAAAAATTCAAAATATCACACAAAATGCGTCAAACCAATCATTTGATACTTCAAAACGACCAGAAACTATTTATTCAAACCATACATACCTAATTCAGTGTAGGTCATATATGGGGGACCTTTAAAAAGGCGACATTTTAGTAAAACTGATATACAAATATGAGATTTCTAACCGAGTCAACCGCAGCCGCATATATCATATATCAAACAGAAGTTGAACCATAATAAGGCGACAATGTCACCCTAATATGAGAAAAACACATTTCGGAATTCCTCAACGTGTTTTATTACTTACTTAGAATAATAATGAATGATAAATCACCTCAATAATAAAGGCATCGGGAAAAACGGCGAAAGCTTTAACGCAACGACAAGAACACAAACATTATGTAGTTTAACCATGTGAGCGCCTTTTTAACCATAAACTCTCGGATTTGGATGTTGTACTTGATGAGAAAAAATCTAAGTGTTTACAGGGGCCACATTGAATGGATTGGTGGGCCGGGTTGTGGCCCGCGGGCCGCTTGTTGCATACCCTTGGTCTGGAGCCTTGCTCAGAGTTAACGTGGGAAAAGTCTCATCGAAGTAATGTAAACTCCGTTAGCTCTGAATGTGAACAACACTAAACCTTACACTGCTAACTTCTTCTACGGGAACAAAATCTTACCACAAACCCACAGAGTAACAACGAATCTGCAATTTATCCTGAACTCAAAAGACCTTCTTCATTTATTGTCACCTCAAAATACTTGCATAAAAATGAAGTCAATTATGAATTTTCGTTTTCGACCAAAAGTACGCATCGATACCCAGACTGTGCTCAAATAAAAGCTTGGTGAATCTTACAATTTTCTACCTTTTCACTTTGCACCAGTGGTTGCTATGCGACTAAGATACTATTTCCGCTTTCAGGGGGCGATCTAGGTACATCGCTTTCAGCAATCTTGCATGAAAACCTACGAATAACCCCCAGCGTGTAATTATTTTTTCATTTTTAATTGAAAATTCAGAGCCAATTCAAGCAAGCTTGCATATTACATAAATAAAAACATAATAAACCATTCAAAACACCATAAATGCTGCAACAATTACAGACCACCGCAACCGCATGGAGTCTAATACCCCAAAACCCCAACTCTTGCGAAATCGAAAAATTTACCTCCAAACTTGCCACCCATCCAGTATAAAGTAGGGCCCTGTTTATGTTTGGATATGAGTCACTTACATTTTACATTGATCAAGTTGTTAGACCCCACAAAAGAGGTTTTATATGGGTTTTTGATTTTGGTATAAAAAGTTGTTTTAAATGAAATTACAGAAAGATTGCAATTACATTTGGTTCATCGGAATTTGAAAATGTTGCAATTTGAAATAATCTATTTGCGATTCAGATTATCAAATTTGTGGCGGGTGATAGTGATTTTTTGTTAAATTTTTACCTTTAGTTTAAATGAAATACGAACTTAGATTATCGCATTGATACTTTTTTACAAATTTTGAGATGAAATAGCGTTTTTATTTAATTTCAAGAATTGAAATTTGTGTATGACCTAATACTCTGCAAAAAATCCAGTCATGATAATTTTTTTATATTTATTCCTAAAAATTTTCAATTTTATGATAAATGGGATGAAAATATGTTTGAAGTTGTTTGCAGATGACTCAGTCATCAAAAATTTTGTGGGTTTAATATGATATCACAATGGCAACAAACGTAATGATTTGTGACAAAACAATGGAAGGAATTTTATGTCAAAACCGCTGATAAACACATTCTTGCGCTGAAAATCACTAAAATTTTCAATCTGGACTCATGTTTCGATCACAGGTAAAAATCGCTTGTAAATACGAGTTATCTATGATTTATAATCAGAACAAGCCTGAATTATCCCTGATTTAGGGGACATTATGGAACCGGTACCTTGAAATAAAGAATTCTGTATTCAAAGGGTTTAAGATTAATCTTACTGACACATGTCGAACCAAAACATAAAAAAAATTCTTGGGTAATGGGTGGTATGGTTTGAAATGCGGGATGTAATATCAGAAATAACCGTTAGCGGTTATATTACTTGAAAACCATAGAATGCTTAGGAGTGGTTAAAGAGAGTTTGCTTCATTAGACTTACTTATTACCACAATATGTATCTTAAAATCATGTCAATCGCGCAACACGTCTTCGCGAAAATGTTTTGATTGTAGCGTAACTATTAAAGTAAATAGGCAATCCATGAAATCCTAATAATTTTTTTAATTTGCAAAGAGAATTTATTGATACCATATACTGTTTTGGCTCTCACAGATGTATTAAATGAAGTAAAAATACTTGAACAATTACTGATTAAAAAACAACAAACCTGGTTAAGATATATTGAGAACTTACTTCATAACAAAATTGAAATTTTAAGGGATTTCATGGACACCTGTACATTTAAAAGTAAAAATGCTTATCCGGAGCCAATTACCGGAACTGGAGCCGAATTTTTTTTTTATAATTCTCACAGTCTTGCTTTGGATATAGTTTAGTATCAATTTCTCCGTCCATTATCGACCGTAATATAATTCTGGGATTTAAAAACATCCAATACTTAATCCAGCAATTTCACAGTTGGGAATTGTAATAATTTTACTGTCAAAAAGAATGAAAAAAATGACAGTAATTGGACCGTAATTAGAAGAACGCCTGGTAAAACTTACGCCACGATTTTTAAATTAAAATTATTTTGAATTACTTTTTAGTACATGTTAATTTACTGGAATGTTTTGATAGTGTGGATAAAATATTCAAGCTAAAAAGTTGACTTTCGACCTTCCCCGTTTAAGGGATTATCCTCGCTGTTTGTGACGTCACAAATGTTCACTTTATGAACAAATAAATGCGGTTAATTTTAGTATTAAAAGGATGAAATTTGACGCACGACCGCTGAAATAATGGCAAAAATTATATTTTTTTGAGAATATAATTATTTACTTAACGGGGAGTGGGATATATCGGAACAAAATTAAATTTTATTCGAAAATTTAACCTCCCCGCCCTCGCGTGTATAACCTGTTATTAAATGTGGGATATTAGGACATTTTGATTTTAAAAAAAACGCATTTTTGCTAAAAAATGCCAAAAACATGGGTTTGTGTTGAGGGGGATCAATGGCAAAAGCGTAACAGTCTGTTAGGGATTTAGCATTATTACAAAATAATTGAACCGCTATGTAAACACGGTACGCTTCACTGCACACAAAATATCGACCTCGACTTAACATTGCTATAGTTCACCTCGTTATATTAGATAGTAAAACACATAAAACCGAGAAAAGTACGTTTGCGCGAAAACGTTTTCCACTTCGTTGGCGCAAAAAACAGATTTGAAGCATAATAGTCGCACATAAATAAAAATTTGACAGTATGTTTTGGGTAAGAAAAATAATAAAACGCCTGTTTGGAGCATATAAATAAGTATTGTGAGTACATTTACGCAAAAATGAAACATTTGCGCAAAGACGTTTTGCGCGAATACAGAGAATGAAATGTAACATACATATTTTGTTAATAAGATGAGGCTCTTTCTTTTCTGTGTTAGCGTGTGACAATGCTTCAAATGTATTTCAAAAAAAAAACATATGCCGAACCGCAAGCCATCTGTTTATGATAGTAATTACCAAATCGAGGGATTGAAGTCCTGTTACTGATATTGGATCATAATCCCCAATTATAAGGAATAAATGCCGTAAATAAAACTATTATTGTAGCGTGAAAGTTTTGTGTTACTTGTGCACTTTGACACCGACAAATTTGCGCTCAGAAATCGAATATGTACAACATTTAAAGGACATAATTTTACTAATGAAACCTGGTCTTCTTATGTGTCAGCCTCGTTTGAGTTGAAGGCGTGAGAACGTCATGTAATAAGAATATTTTGGTACTATACTTTTATTGCCAAGCACCAATATAACACAAATTACGTTTCTGTAAGAAAAAATGACGTCGATAAAAGAAAAATGACGTCATTTTATTATGATGACATCATTACAATTGTCTTTCGTCAATATATATATTGGGGTTTAAGAACGTCGAACCTTGCGTATTCAGAAACCAAAGTAGCTTAAATAAGTCAAACCTTTTAAATCTCATTTTTTTGCAGGTACCCCAGTCAATCGTATTCCTATCATGGCAAAGCAAGTTCTCGACTTGTACCAGCTATATCGACTTGTCGTGGAAAAGGGGGGACTGGTTGAAGTTATCAACAAGAAAATTTGGAGAGAAATCACTAAAGGACTCAACCTACCTTCGTCTATCACTAGTGCTGCTTTCACATTGAGAACACAGTATGTATTTGTAGTTTTGTGTAAATATTTACATTTTTTTTATGCAAATTTTGCTCAAAGCAATGCCCCGAGACCTCATGTTAAATTGTCACGAGTGCGTTGCAAGGAATCGAATGATTTGTAGAAGAGTTGAAAGTTTGCTCAAAGCAGGGTCCTGAGCACTCAACCAAAAGTGAAAAGAGTATAGATAGAAGAGTTTGCTCGAAGTAAAGTCCTGCGCTTCAACTAAATTAGAAATAAATACTATGAGTATTGAATATAGATAGAAGGGTTACTAGAGACTAGAGACATGAAAAGACATACCGGTATAGCTATTCATACAAACCCGAAAGTTAAAAAGTTCATAAAAACATAAAAAAGTTCTCAATTTTTCCTGAATTTTATAAAATCAAAACTTTTCTTTTCAGATACATGAAATATTTGTATCCATTCGAATGCGAGAAAGAAAAGCTCTCACAACCGAGCGAACTTCAGGCCGCAATAGAAGGAAACAGGAGAGAAGGAAGAAGACCTAGCTACAGGTTCGATTTAATTGTTGTAAAAGTTGAAGATCGAGAGTGCGATCATTGCCCATCACTTCACCCATGTAGAAATCATTTGGTAGAACATATATATTTAATTGTAAAAATCCGGATCTCCTGGCCCATAAATATGTCAGTAACCGTTTGTCTACTCTAGAATCTTGTTAGTAGTCAGCTATTTCAGTTAATTCTGGGAGAGCTAATCGTAAAGTTCTTGGGACGTCTTATTGGCTTACCAATCTTCTTTATTAAACATAAAATCATTTATTTCTACAGCTCACACATGTTCTCTTACTCCCCAAGTGCAGCAACTGGATTGACACCACCAAAGCTACCTTACCATTCACATAACGGACTTTCACAATTTCCAAAATATGGAGGTGAGTTATATGGCGTCAATATATCATTGACGTATATTCTTTGTAATGACGTCATTAAATTTTGTGAACTTATAGTGATTATCCCTATTTCAAAAGCATCAATACATTCTTCGCAGTGACGTCAGTAAATTCTACAAAAACTGTCACAATAACCAAATACGATACGAGTTTTGTGACGTCACCATATCGTTGCTGAATTCATTTTGTGACGTCATAATATTAATGTTAATTCAAATTATCATTAACAAACAACGGTATTTTATTTCAGTTGTTCCCGGACAATGCGACCTACCCACCTCACCCACACAACAATTGGTCGCCCAACAACAACAACTGATCCAGGCCGCCAATGCTCAACACGTTGCTGCTATGGCAGCCTTAGAAGCAATTCAGCATCAAGCTAAGGCTAGGGTGAGTTTCATCATTTATTAAGCAAGCGGGCTCTGTTACTGAGCCATTACTGTACATAAAATTAATTGCCATCTAGCGACTTTAAAAACTGAAACTGTAAAATAATTAGCCCTGGCAAGAACGGAGATTTTTTATAATAACCACAACGAGAACAAGAACAACAATTTAACAAACCACTCTATAGGTTCGCTTCATGTTCAGATAATAATATAAACCCATATCCTTTCAGGCCGCACACGCAGCACAGCAAGCCGCACACCACGCTGCTCAACAAGCTGCACAGCATCATCTAGCGGTCAAGCACGAACGTAATCTCGACACCGATGACTCTGACATGGAGCCGCCACAGAAGAGAAAAGCTTCATCTGACGACATGGCCAGGTATGCGCATAATTTTTCATTACATTTTTCGAACAGGGATTCATCATTTTTCAGGTAGAATCGACTTTAACCACCTCGATTATCAATCAGCATTTACTTGTGCTGAATATTATATATATTAGATGAATATACAGGGTTTGATGTTTTCAAACCCGAATATAGATATTGGAAAAAGACAATGGTGGTCTCATTTTATTACGTCATAACAAAATGACGTCTCATTGTGTCTCATCTTTTTCATAGTGACGTCATTTTTATTACAGAGATGTCGCGTAACTTTTATCACGTTGGCGCCATTTTATTCCGTAACACCTTATTTAATACATTGACGTCATGTTTATTTCATTTTTATAACAATGACGTCATTTTTACATCACTAACAATTCTTTTATACAACAGACGGCACCAAATCACAGAGCAAGATAGAGAGGATTCTCACCATCATCAACCTCACGCAGAGAGTTCACAATCTCGCGATCACAACTCTGAATCTGTCAGCAATATGAAGATTTTAATGTCACATAAAGGTTGGTTTTGTTATGGTTTCGTTAAAGTGGACTAGACGGTTTAGTCACTAATGGTTCCCAAACCGCGACCCGTGGGCCATTTGTGGCCCGCGTAACAATTTAATATAGCCCGCCGAACTGAATTGAAATAGGTTAACACACCGTGTTTTTTTTCTCTTCGCGATACCGCCAAATTGTTACGTCATTATCATAGTTAGCACGTATATTCGTAACAATTCAATTTCACCGGCGCACCTCTCACCTGGCCCGCGAATATCCTTCCGCTTCTAATTTTTGCCCCAGGTGGTCAATTACCTTTGGGAACCACTGAACTTAGTGGTTGAAATGTAGGGCCGAATCACGACCTTGCGTCTAGTTTCCCTACGATTGAGTCAGCTTTCCCTCTTCGGCATAAATGTTTCTTCTATAAAATGAATAATAACAGTAAACTCACATTCTCTCCAGGTTCAACACAGAGCGACGCATCCATGACCGTAGAAACCCTTGCAGATAGCAACTGTATAAACATGAGCATTGATGTGAACGGAGTGAAATATCAGGTAAGATCACTTATCAAATAATAAAACAATAGTTGAATTATGTATGTCTGAAGAAGTCTGACCTTGGTCAGACGAAACGTTACAGAAAAATATATTTGTGTTAGTGTGCAGCAAGACTCTTGAATCACTTAGAATAAAATAAGAGTTTGTGAACTGTTTTTTGGGGGAAGTGGAAGATTCGGGTTATTGTGCAGCAGGACTCCCGAATTGCATAGTATGGTCAAGTTTATTCCTGTCAGCTCAAAAAATAATTGAGCATTGGGAGTTAGTCTTGCGTAATCTCTACTGATAGTATCTTTATTATCAAATATTGAATTATGAACACTGATGTGATATATCAGATAAATAAACTGAGAAATATCACCATGTTATCGAACGATTGGATAAGATCATAGATCAAATCTATGAATAGCAAGGGACATTGAGACAAGCGGGTTGTATATATCTAATTGTTTCCCATATTTATCGAATCGTACGAGAGGATAAGATATAACTTCAAGAAAGAGTAGCTACTGTTTTTAGGTGTGAAAACCTCATAAAAGTTATACGTTTTTCTTTGAGAATTATTTCAGTTTTTCTAATTTTGCAGGGAGTACTTTTCGCTCGCGGATCAGCATCAAGTCCACCACCTGTCAATCACATTGCTACCAGTGAAGCAAGACAAAACCACTCGCCTCACTCATTATAATTGTTTCGTCACAATACTACAATTCGTGACGTCAGAATCTACATCTTCAAATAAATAATATTGCACCAAAAAGGAAAAACGTCGCGCCAAAAACTATAAATTGTATGTACGTCATAGCGGATGACGTCACAAATTCTTATTACGTCACGAGCAATGAGATACAAGAGAGAATTTTGTAAACTCTGATGTGTATTTTCTTCAAGCGAGCTGTACTTTTGCTACGAATTTATTCTTTATTTTCAAATTCTGTTTTTATTGATTATTTTGTTTTCATGTGCACTGCCGAAAAGCTGCCATAAAGCCATTTCGAAAATGCCATTACTTTGTGATTCAGAGCAATAAAAACCAGCGAAATATCTGGTCAGGTCAAATCATCAACATTTTTGCACTACGAGCTTTCCAACTGCCATTTGCAAACCAATTTTCCGCGTTTCTTACCAATCTTAAATAAATACTCAAATAATTTGATTTCCAAAACCAAATTCCGAAATTAAAAATCATTACATATATGTTGATCCGCCAATCCGAATTGATAAGTAAACTACGCGCCACCAAAATGCCGAATTGTTAGAACTATTATGACATCATTAATAATGACGTCCATTAATAATAATTTGCCACATTATCTAAAAACATAAACGAGTGTTATTTTTATACCTCAATTTCTTTATTTTTAATTTTATCTTTCATTTAGTATGATTACGTCATTACATGCGTCATCGGCGACGTTACAACTGGCTCGATATTACAGCAACTTGCCATATTTTATTAGAGGATTTCAATAGAAAATAAGTGTTGGGGGTGATTTTTTTCATTTTTAACACTTCGCTCCAAACAAGGTTCGGGACAAGCAGCCAAATTTGGGGGTTCTGACCCAAAAATGAACTTTTTCTTTGATCGACTGCAATATGTTCGTGAATTTTGTGTTTTTTCGTCAACAGTTTGCTTGCACTCTTTTATTTTTTGCTTCAAAATAACTGTTTTGGCAAATTTATACTGTAAAAAATTAAAGTAACCTTTTTTGTTACGTTTTTGTGTTATTTTATCTCGGTTTGAAATTGAAAACTGTTTCCTCAATTTAATTTTTGGGGAGGATACGGTTCATTGATTTCAAACGAATATGCTACCTTTTACATTACCTATTTGTTTTTTATGGGCGGATGTGTTACTACTGCCAACCGTTTTCTTGATGATGACGTCACAGTATGACGTCATTTATTATATTTTGAAATATGCTATTATCATTTCTGCCTGCTCGTTACCGAGCCATCAATAAAAACTGCCCGAATAGAAAACAATTTGTGAGTTATATTTGTTAATTAGAGGTTTCGGATACTAAACAGCGCCCAAAGGGTATCGCTAAGGGGGTGTTCGTTATTTTGAAAATGTGACGTGATATCATGACGTCATATTTTTTTACACTCGCGTACGAAATGTCGGGTATATAAATACAGAGTACCAGTGTATATTTACCAGTTATTGAAAATACTAAGTACCTGAAGGGAAATATAGTCGACTTATTTATACACGACCGGGGCTTCTATCCAGTTATTTGTCAAGTCGAGGTTTTTTCTTTTGGGTTAATCGACGGGATAGAAAAGCCGATAAGATGACCTAATTATGGTATCTCGATCCAGCTAGCTTTAAGTTGGGGGTTAGAATACGCTTTCATGTTTATGCAGGGAAGAGAGAAGTAGAGAAAGCTCATCGATTATTTGCGGCTCTCACGGCTTCTCATTTTTTTTTTGTGAGGGGGGGAGGTTAAAATAAATTTTGGAGATAAAAGCCGTTAATACGGGTTATTTAATATGGTAATAGGGGTAATTCTTTCGCCTGGGTACCGGCTCAGTTACGTGTCATATCAGAAGAGCAAAAACGCCTCTAGCTGATCTATTATAACGAAATGGACGTGCAGGAGTGGTAGAGAAACGTGTACAGCTGGCGCCCACGTTTCCTATTTAAAACCTAAGATTTGTGAGAAGCAAACAGTTTAGTTAAGAGTACCTATATGCAGTGGTGGGATTCAAAATTTTTGTCAGCCGGTTCCTTCACAAAAGTCCTATTTTTTAGCCGGCTCTGTTACAAACAGAAGAACATTGACAGTAACCGGATCTTTGATCTCATAAAATTCCGTGAGACGGTTCTATAGAACCGGTGCGAAACCGGCTGAATCCCACTACTGTCTATATGATTTGCTTTTTTACGATTTGAATATGTTTTACTATGAATAAACCTCGTAGTAATCACTCGAGACCAACTCACCTTCGTTCTTGTCAGTTGAGGGTTCGATATCTTGCTTTAGACCTCGACAACAGGCATGTTTAAACGTACATATATTCCCAATACGTTACTTCTCACGGTATAGGCAAGCGCCCTTGTTCACTCAAACCTTAATTACTTATTTCACTTGATTACTTGCCTCGAAGTTGTCGCATCGTTGAGGTGCCATGTCCCTCCCAAAATTTTCAACATTTTTTTAATGCAATTTTGCGGCATTTGCAGTAAGACATACATTCTTTCGTCTTTTTGATCACCACTTTACTCTATTCTTGAACGATTTAATGAATGACTTTTCTTGGCTTGCTATCAAATAATTTTTCATCAAATGAACCAACCGAGATAGATGAATAATTGTCCAACTACAATTTTAGGCTGGCTACGCTCGAATTACCCTAATTATCAGCGATAGAATTGCTGCCTCCGTGGAGGTCGCAAAGTGGCTCACATGGCGGCCGATCGCTTACAGTGGGGTCGTGCAGTAGTTTACGTCAGTGGCCCCAAAACGTACAATTACGGCCGTAGTCAGGTGCGCGCAAAAATTTTCTGGTGCCCGGGCTAGTTTCTGACAATGATGCCCCTTATACCATCCTCAAATCTAATTCGAGGGATGAACAAATTATAGACGTTGTTATACACGAGAATGAATAAATAAAAGGTCAAGTAAGAGGGAAATGTTTGTGTTAATATCCAGCAAATCATCAAACTCGCATCTGCTACCACGTGCTGTCCATGTGGGGACAAACCATCGTACAACGCTTCAGCTATCGCAATTAGCAGAATGTTTTATAAAATGGCGATTGCACATATCTGGATTACACCACTATCAGAGCCAATGCAAGTCCAACTCAACATGAAACATCAAATTGATTTTTTCAATACCTGGCAACGGAAAGAGGGGTCGTGGTTCTAATTAAATTGACTTATAACTTTCCTCTTACCCGGGATAAATATGTAAATCCTATCCTATCGTTCTGCCCTCCAGCAGATTTGCACTGTCAGACTATAGCTAGCAAGCAAACCCCATGAACACACCAGGACAATATCCATTGTATGAATGTTTTGAACATCAACAATATAAAAACAGACATCCTGCTAAATAACAATATGATGTAACAATTGCCACATTGTGATGCAAATAGAATCACAAATTATGACATCAACAATAATCATTTATGATATAATAATACATTCGCAAACAATGAACTTAAGCAGGCGAATTAGGAAAAGGCACAAAGCACAGACAAATGCCTAGAAAGACAATGTTATTCACCCTATTTTCATCGACGTGTCAAAAGGCACAAAGCACAGACAAAGATGAAACAGGCAAATGCCTAGAAAGACAATGTTATTCACCGTATCGAATCCAATTTTCATCGACGTGTAGTAAGTACACGTATGTAGCATGTTTTAACTCTTAAGTGTTGGTGACTTAGCTGAATTTCCGCTATCAGCTAAAATGCTGCATGCAGTTCACAACCTAGGCTTCCTTCATCCAGATCAAACACTCAAGATCAACTTTTGTTGGAGAAAGCACACACATACCGATAGTCTGGTAAATTTTAGTGCAATTTCCTCTAAATCTTATCAAAGAAACAAGAGGGCGGAAAAACAACTCTTTTATGTTCAGCGAGTATTCACATTAGAGTCGATGAATTTTTTTAAAATGAAATTTGATTAACCGTTCACGGCCTCTTCCATGAAAATGAACCAGTTCATGCCCATTAAACATTCAGCAATCAATAAACTCTGCATTTCCATTACCGTTAACTACACAAATTTGGTTAAATGGTTAACCAGCCCCACTCATGAAAGACTATGGTAAGTAGGGCAAAGCATCAAATTACCATTGACATTTTGAACGGTTAACCATATAAATTGATTGAATGGTTAACCATTCCCAGCCCAACTTAAGATTGGATGTCACGAAATATCAAGGAAGAAATCGGTTAATGAAATTTACAATCATTATCCCTATAAATTCTATTGACAATTATTTTTATTGGTTTACCACACAAATTTGGTTAAGTGGTTTACCACAACTACAGCCTTTCCAATGAAATAACTTAATCGCAGTAAGCATTACATATATATATAATACAATCACAAAGAAGTAAACATTTAAAATAAATACAATAATATAAGCAATTGGCTAGCTACAAACTTGTAGTGAAATAGGTGTTCTATATTTTGTATCAGAAACAAGGGGGAGTAAAGGGACTTCCCCCATTTACTGCGTTACAAGAAAGGACACTGGATGACAAGATATATTTAAATTTTTCCACAAAGGGTACTTCTACATACACTATGATATCATAAATCAAAAAATTTCACCCCCTCTCTCAATTCTGACATCACACATAAGAGCAGTTTGCAGATGACACAAGTGACAAATAATATAATACAACAAGCAAATGATTTTTATTGAGAATATATCGGCGGTTGCTTCATCTTATACTATTGCATTGCGTTTCATGCACATTTTATCATAACAAACTGTCTCTGACTGGGGCTCAGGCCGTAGGTGGCTTATATGTTGAGTGCCCTATAACTCAGCTAAGCATGCAATCAAGTCTGTGGAGACTGTTTGAGAATGCCTGCCATTATCAAAGTTCAGTTTTATTGAAGTTTGGAGCTAAAATTAAAATTTTCTACACCCAGAGTCAGATGTAAATATCCCCCGACACGCAGTCTTGCAACATGAACAACTATTTATATCTAAGAAGTATCCTGGTTTAGGGTAAAGTAAAATTTGGTATAGAGATGCACACATGTAGGCCTTTTTATTAGTTAAGAGGTAAAAGCTTTAAGCAGTATCTGTAAACAGTTTGGTTATTTTTGGCAGGCATGCCAGAACCTCGCTCTGAACAAGGCTTTAGGAAAGCAGTCACTGATTAAATAGAGATTCCAATACGGGCACCAATTTCCTAAAAAATTTTCAAAATATTATAATTTTCAGCCAGAAAAATTTCTCCCCCCCCCCAAAAAATTCATATTTTTACCCCTCGTTTTTGAGGAGGGTGAACCACCTACAACCTGCCCCCAGTGTTCTAGTTAGTAGATCATCTTGTGTAATAAACCCGATAATAGAGTGTCTTCGATCTCCACAGAGAGTAACTGTTATCAAACTTTAACAAATAAACTCCTCTCCCCGGATACCTGTGAGACCCTGCGTGGACCTGAAACATAAGTATCGCATCATTAAAAGCAAACTCTCATCTCTCTAGTCTTCTATAAAAATAGGTAGTTTTGAATTCAACGAACCGCCATCAGTTATTCCATGCGTCACATTTAATAATAAAACAGATGACAAAGGAAATACAGAAGAATGGGACCTTCTGAAGTATGCGCACCAAGATGGCGCAGAACCTGAACATAGTATGTGTGTACCAGTTAGGATTAAGGTTGTGCGACATCTTGGTGCGCATACTTCTGGAGCACCGAAGAAGGAATGCATTACAGTCAATTTATTTTGAAATTAAAGCTGTCATCATGTATGATGCCTGGTGATGGCCTATGCTCCTGGCTCCCGAGCGAGCGAAAGACTAATTTGAGAGACGAGCAATCACTGGACAATTATGACTTTATGCTACGCCATCCAAGTCCATGAAGTGCACAGTGTTAGGAATATGCTTGTTATAGCACATTTCAGGTTCGAATCACTTGGGAGATAATTATGTGTAAAAGGATCGCTGGACTCCTCTCCATCATAGGGTGGTTCATATGATCGCTGGTCAAATATGGCTTCTTTCAACATGAAAGTCCATGCATTTGGAAACAAACAACTTGTTATTTAACCCCATACCCGACATAGGTTGGTAACCAGATGAGAGGCCACAATACTTGGAACATAATTATCCCTCATGGAATGAATGCAAGCCCACACAGGGTATTCAAGAAGTGCTATGGCAAGCGTATTCCTAATGCTTAGCACGATGCGTCATAAAATTAAAATTGTAACATAGATATATCTTTACCTCAGTATGGCATTCTCTTCTAAACACGGGAACAATTTCATCAGTCATTGGGCGATTAGATTTGGATTCTGATCCCATTTCTATGTCATCTGGCCCTCCTGTAGCACCTGTGAAAAAGAAGGTTTTAGATACAGCAATTCCATAAAATCTTGTAACAAGGACACACAAAGAGGTAACCGAGCGAATTTCGTCCATAATAAACCTGTTTTAACTGCTTTTATCTAACCGAAACCAATCTGATATAAATCTATCTTAACCCTCAATATTACAAAACTTTGAATAGAAGTCGTGGTAAATAATCAATCAGCCTTGTCGTCTTTCCTCTCTCCCCACATAAACCTGGTTGAGTAAGGGGGAAAAAAAGTTTTTAAATAGGAGTTATAGTGGAATTTATATGCCCCAAGCGCGGCACATTTGTGATTGGGTAAATACAGCAACCTTTGAGAAGAAAATTACAATCATTGGAAATTATATGGCGATGGGAGCCCAGCTCAAAGGCAAATATTGATTGAAAAAGTTGAATTTATGAAGTCCCACTACCTTGAAACTGCATTTGGGATGATGTTTGATGGTAGTGGGCAGTGGCCATCCTAAATACGCGCTGATGATTATGCAGTCAGAGCACAGCTGAGAGTATAAAAAATGAAGCTCCTGTGCCAGAGTTGGAACTCTTCATTTAATCCATCTGTGGGGGTCAAAACATAATATCATATCGATAAATTCAGTTCGCAATTTCGAAAAATTTAGGACTTCATGAATTCCCCATACTTTGGGAGCTTGAGCCAGAGTACTCCTGTAGTATGTTCAGGCCATAATTTTATTCTGATTTTCCTTATTTTAGTTCTATTACGAGTTCAGGGACTGTCTGTGTTAGCCAAGTGAATATACCCCTTGCCCAGAGGTCTTAGTCGCTTTACACAACTTGATGTAATAGGCAGACAAAACTAGTTATACTCTTATTGGTAGACACACCTCTGGAGCCAGAACCCTTGTGCTTTCAACTATCTTCCCAACCCTGGTTATTCATCAAACAAATCACTTACCATCGCCTTCACCTTCATCTTCTGAGCCTTCCTCTTCCGAACTCTCGTTAACATGAACAGAAACTTGCTGTGCTACCGAGTCCGACCACTCAAAATAAACGCCAAACCCAAGATCGTAATAATCAGTCGCAAACTCCCAGAAAACATAAGCACCTGTGAAAAAAAGATTTTAAAACTAACATCTCTGAACAAGGCTCTTGATCGCTATCTAAGGAGCTACAAGTGTTGAAATGGCCGAAATCATTTTAGTTTAGCACTGACGAAACAATTTATTAATCCCTTGGTGAAGTAGTGAACATGGAGGCTGAACCCCAATTCAAATTTAAAGTACCCGTAATAGCCCCCTAGCGACAGATCCACTGACGTAAAGACAGAGAGAAAGAAGTGTTGAATTTGGGATTAACATATTTATTCCGGACGAGAAGGAAGCTGTTATGACGACGTAATCATATGGACGAACCACGGCCTCTCGTACGGTTACCATCCCATGTCGGGTATGGGATTAGTTAGCTAGTTATTTGATTTCGGAAGCATGGACTTGATGGTGGAGAAAGCTGTACCCGACCAGCGGTTACGTGAACCATCCTACAGCGGCAGTCTAGCAATCCTCTCACACATAATCATCCCCACATGGAATTGGAACCTGTGGACCCAGAGACAATCAGAGGTGCGGTTGCAAGCATATTCCTAATGGTTAATACGATGCACCACCTCGCAGAGCAGACAGGGGCACTACTTTAAACAAACATTACGGGACAAATTCGATTGTGAAATTTCTCGTTAAAATCCATCCCACCTTCTTCGTGTGTTGGAACCCTCACAGTGACGACTTCTCCTCGTCCAACAGTCAGAACAGACTCGGGATCGCGCTTGATCTGCTCTTTGAACTCGCTTATCTGTGGCCGAGTCCAAACTGATGGCTCCGCAATTCTTGGTTGAGATTCTGTAGAAATTAATGTCATTGTGCGTGTATGAAATAGTTTTACTATCAGTTTGGGTTACAAGAGACTAAATACCGTTCTATGCCTTGCAATTTATTTTCAATTACCACCGATATTAGTTTAAGATAGATATCAGGACAAGATGACCTAACTATGGTGCAACAAATAGTATATGTGTTCATCACCTTGATTTGAGCAAATTTACTCATTGAAAAGATTAAAGTATTAGACCAGAGGTGGGCAGGGTTTTTGAACCAGGGGCTAAATATTTGGCCCACCTAGAGTGGCGGGCCCTGTAAGTGTGACGTAAAAAGTTACATTTGAAAGCAATATTTACAGTGTTACAAAAGCAAAAGTGGAAAACAAAAATCCTCGTGCCAAAACTAAATTTAATCGCAATCCCAAAAATTTTTTGAGCTATTCTCAGCTAAAATATCAAATTTGGTTTTTGTTTGGTTGTGGCAGCACCAGGCGGGCCAGATTGAATTATCCAACGGGCCGGATTTCGTCCGCGGGCCATAGTTCGCCCATGTCAGTAATAGATTCTTAATATTCATTTGGAAATTATCAGCGGTTAAAGATAGTATTTTTTGCTATAAGTCTATTAATAATTTTATTGGCACTAATTTTGTTCGCCTACTTTACATCAAGTTGTGTAAAGGAACGGAAGCTTATGGACGGGAGGAATATTCACTTGGCTAAAACAAACAGTCTCGAACTCAAATAGAATTTAAATGAGAAAAATTGGAATAAAATTATTGACTAACCATAACCTGGTACACATACTACAGAAATACCCTTTTATTCATTTCAAAAATTTCTGTGATCTCTATGAATTCGGTTTTTGCATGTTATGAAAAAACCATCTCTCAAAAATAATTGTCCTAGCCAGAATAACTCCAACATTCACAGCAGAAAGTCAGTGGAATAGGAGACTAGCTTTAGTATCGCAAGCGTAAAAAAAATGCTGCACAACTAAGAACAATGCAGCACAGAGTGTTACTTGCTTAGATTTGCTGGTCAGTATAAAATACATTATTGTAGTAATAAAGTAACCTAGCTTTTATGGTAAATTAACAAAATTTATTAAGTTCGTATTCATGTATTTGGAATAGATCCAATAGTTGAATCATAACTTTACATCAGAGGTCGGAAACATTTTGTCGCTCGCGTGCCAAAATAATGGTTGCAACGATTGGCGGGCCTCACATATTTTTAGAAAGTTGAAAACAGAACGGATGATACTTTTTATAATAAAAATGAAGCAGTGATAATCTCTCGAATAGAATATAGATTTATTTCCTCGTTGTATTGCATTTTTGGCGCCATTGAATCCTTTGCACTTAGATCAACTTTTCTACGCTTTGTTGCCATTTGTCCTATTATATTTAAATTATAGGCTCATTAAACGAGTAATTGTGAATTTTATACTTGTTAGATTATAATATAATTTAGTCTATAGGGAAGCGTCGCAGGCCGGATTATGTTACTCCAGGGGCCAAATGCCGCCCGCGGGCCGTAGGTTGCCGAACCCTGCTTTACATCTTTAATTAAATATATTCTCTAGCCGCTACAGTGAATTACTTGTTTTTTAAATTTGTCGTATTGATTTGTTTTGAGTATGCTTTAATACAGCATGTCCCAAAATAAATATAACCTATTAATTATTTAGCAATTTCGTGAGTTTCATTTATTTTGGGACACCCTGCATCTCCTGACAACAGCAAAAAAAAATTAAACTAATAACATATTTATCATCACTACCCTGACTGTGGCCTTTTCCATGAATTCACAAAATTTTTGCACATTATTTTTTCTTGAACAAAATCCATTTTAGAATATATTTATTCCTTATTTGAAATAATTTTCATAGAATATACACGAAATATCAGATTAATTGACGTAGACCACTTCTGAAATAAATAGCTTCTTAACCCCCCCCCCCTTCACAAAAGAAAAAAAAATTACCTTCAGATACATCAGATTCTTCAGATTTACTATCAGGAGAGACATTCTGTTGTTGTTGTGGTTGAGGAGGGGTATTCCCCAATCCTGGATTTTGATTCAATGTTCCTGGTAAAGGAGGTTGCTGGGGAGCCACAGCTGCACTCTATAATTAAAATTTTTTGAAGTTATTTTTTTTGAAAGGAGGAACTTGAAATGAGAGAGCTTTCTCCATAACAGTGCTAACTGGATCACTTGACAACGAAATTTTCTATTCTATTTTCGCCAAGATTTCACTTTCATCCTATGTCACCGGAGAGATCACCCTTGAAGTGCTTTTATAACTTATGTTTTAAACCTTGCTCAAACTTTTGACAACCATCTTCAATTTTTAAAAAGATCAGCATGGAAGCGCGTCGGAAAACGTGGAAAAAGGCTAATTTATAATATTTTTCAATTTCTCCTCGAGTCCTATGAAACCTAATATTCCACCCAAAATATTGCAACTTTATTTAAATTTACAGGAACACTTTTTATGAAAATGGGAACACTTTCTCCAACACGCTTAGTGGCCAATCTTCTCAGCAAATGCCCTGCTAAGGCAAACCTTCACGCCCGTATACTTGGGCATTGCACTCTTGTTATATTATTGCAAAACTGATGATGACAGAAAACCGGGTGGGCTGCATTTAACTCAGAGGAAGGTTTCGCGTGTAATTTAATATATGATTTAATTCAAACAAATCTAATATTGCATGATCACTACTGTCTGCAATGTTGCAGAGAACAGTTTTTTTCGACGATGCAGATAAAAGTTGCACGAAAATTAGAACGCCCATAAAAATATTTAATTAAATCATTTTATTGCATGATCGTTATTGGCTGCAATATTGCAGAAAATGTTTTTTTTTTCTGACGATGAAGATAAATGTCATATAAAAATTGGAATGTCTACAAAGATATTTAATTAAACCACATCCACATAAAATTAATTGGGTGGCCTATTTAAAAAAAGTATTACCAATATTTTTTACTCATTTAGTATTATTGTAACACATATTATTAAAACTGTAGAAAGGCAGAGCAAATGTATAGATATTTGAAACAGCTAATGAATTTTTTCTCTCTATGAATCAGAGTAAAATCTGTTTAGGATTAGTATAACATTAATACACCATGTCCGAGTCAATAAGGCATTACGCCTCATAAGCATGTCATCGTTAATACAACAGTCATACTAATCTATTCCACCTAAGAACAAACCTAGGGTAGTGTTTTTAATTTATCAACAACAAAATGAACAGAAGCACACTCAAGTCCACCACTCATCAATAGAATTCAGACTTCTCAAGTGTCATTCCACACTATAGAATTTATTCATCATTTTGAATAATTAGCTGCTCTACATACTATGGCAAAAAGCTATTTTCAAAGTTATTTCGGCAAATTCTCAATAAATGAAAAAAAGAATATATTCAAAATCAGACAATTTTTTCAACAGAGAAATTTTCTCAAATCATAACAAATTTTTTTTAATAAAATTATTTAATAAACATTGTTTTGATTGGTTTTAGATAGGAAGAGCAAATGTATTTGAAACAGCTAACCTAATTTATTACACCCTAGGAGAAGGCACAAATCTGGGTTAGTGTATTTAATTTTTCAAACAATAAAATAAGCCAAAACATGTGGGGCATAGCAGGAGGGGGGGGGGGGTATGCTTTTTTAAAATGTAAAAAAAAAACATTTCTCTGTATCATATTCAATTCAAGAATCATGCTGCACACGAACACAAATATATTTCTGTAACGTTTCGTCTGACCAAGGTCAGACTTCTTCAGACAAGCATTTTACAACTATATAGTTGTACAACTAGTTGTCTGAAGAAGTCTGACCTCGGTCAGACGAAACGTTACAGAAATATATTTGTGTTCGTGTGCAGCAAGACTTTTGAATTGAATAGAAGAGAGATTTACACTCTTGCTACAGTATCCTTGCGTAATACACATACGGATCCACCTGCGCAAAGGCATAGAGAGCAAGGAAAGGTAGTTTTCACGTAACCCCAACTGTAGTCATCTCTGTATCAGACATAGCAATTTTTCGTAGCTTGAAACACATTTCAGACTCGTAAGACTTTTTTCCGGTCGGGTCCACTAGTTGTTACGGTTTAGCAATTCCAGATTCGACCCCCCCCCCCCCCCCTTTGAAAATTCCTGACTATGTCTCTGCAAGACACACGAGTCCACCGCCCATAACAATAAAATTCAATTCTGAAGTATCCTTAAGTCATTACACAAGAGTCTGACTGCCGTGACTGGGATTTGTTCATATATATGAATAGTTTACTAATCTATGTTTCTGGCTAGTTACTGTTTTCAATTTCAAATAAATTGAGTTCCAAATTTAATTAACTTTGATTTATGTCTGCAGTGAAAAACAGGGTCAGTGATATAGAAGTTAATGTATATTTAATGAATTTGAAAATGACTCTTGATTGATTCTAGATTATTTAGCTTTCAGAATATAAATGAAGACTTTTCAATATTACAGTAATTTGTCACAAAGTAATGAGGCAATTTACGAATCAAAACACACATTTTAATTTCAAATCTTCAAAAACATTATTATTACTATGATATCCATATTTTTACATTCCCAATGTATTACGACATCACAACAAATTTGAAATAACCTTAATTAAATCTTGGCAAAGCGAAGCCTTAGGTCATGTGGTTAGATAATATAAGTATACGTGGCATGTCTAATAAACTTGCAATTCCTCTAATACCAATAATTAATGATCTTCATGTTTTACATACTGCCAAGTGCCAAGTCAATCTAATACACCCTAGACAAGGTGGTCGACATAAGGATTGAGCCAGAGAGCTTTTACCTGCGATGACAACATAGTTTGGACCAACAACTCTACATATTTGTCCACTGGAACAAATTAGCATGTTTTGAATAACAAAATTACATCACCAGCCATCTTGAATGTTATTCCCGTAAAGGGCAGTTTCGCATCTTTAATCTAAACGAGGTTTTGCGCAGCCCTGGCATATAAGGAGCAACTATATCATGGTGAAATCAAAATCTTCCAAGTTCAGCCTTTACAATTTAACACAAAAACATTAAATTCATTAGCTTACCCACTAACTAGGCGACCCTAATCAATATTTCCTATGAGGTCATGCTAAGCCTATGATCTTAATTAATCTTGGATTAATGAAGATTTTCATATTATACATTTTGCTAATCTTGTTAAAAGGTTTTTGTTGCCAAAGTATACTAGTGGAGGATGGATACATCCAATATTAGCAGAATAAATTCCTAATTAAACAAACCTGTTGTTGCTGTCTATATAACTGCATATATTGCTGATAATGTTGTTCTTGTAACTGAGCAATTAGGACTCCTTGCTGAAATATAAAATAACAAATTTATTGAACAAATTTAAAGTTCAAACAAGAATGGCCAAAATCCAATAAATTACTATTACAAATATATTTCTGAAATGTAGGTAAAGAATGCTTGGAATGATTTTCTAATTTTTCTCAAGCTAATGATAAAGAATTACTCTCATACTGCACACTTCATTGTAACCCTTATGACATTGCCTTTAATAAATATTTGGGATTGGATTTTCATATGCATCTGGTTAAAGAGGAAAGCCAATCAGATTCATACTAATCATATGAAGAACCAGGGCCTCTTATCTGGTAGCCAGTTCATGTCAAGAATGGAAATAGTTGAACAGTTATTTGTTCCCGATGTGTAATCCAACATTGGGTAAATCGACATACAACGACAAGGGGTCCAGCAATCTTATCCCACATAATTATCCCCCTCAGAATTCTAACCTGTGGACCCATACAGGGTAATCCGAAGTAATTTGGAAAGTATGTTTATAATGGCCAGTATAACGCCCCATCAGATCAATTTGCTGATTTCAATTTTCTTTATTTAAGTCTAAAATTTCAACTTTGGATAAGTTTAAACCCCACATTCCTAGTTTGCTACAATTAACATGTTTAATAACAAAATTCCTGATTTTGACTCCCAGGAAAGAGTAATCATTAGTAAATAGCGAGTGTGTCCATGAAGTTTTGGGCGATAAGTGAAAAGCCAGCCAGCCGTCAGTTACAATAAAATCACCATAATACCTGATCTGGGTTCCCGGGATACTGCTGTGCTGCATATTGTTGGAATTGTTGGGCCGTTTGTTCATTCAAGGCTGCCATGATCTGTCGCCTGAAACAAGAAACGATAGTTTTGATTGGAGAAGGATGTCCAAAATGGATTGAATATTAAAATCGAGTTGAAATTAATTATATTCAATATCTTAAAAACATTTTGATTTTAGAAATATTTCCGTTCATAAAAATTATAAATTAAAGTATCACAAGAAGATAAAAAAGCCTTCATTTAATTTCAGAAAACTGTAAAAAATAAAAGACCCATCGAATCATCACAAAAAAACTAGAATAAAACCCTAATTTGAATTCTGAAAAATAAATTTCAAAATACCAACAATGCTTTTATAGACTACACTTTAACACATCATGAATGAATTATGAAGCTTGAATATTTTATTAAATAATATTTTCAAATATGGAATATTTATTCAAAATTTGGTCAAGTTGAACAGTGATTCAACTGATTTTCAGAAATCAAATGAAGACCTTCAAGGCTTTCATTCGCTCATTTGCAAATTCAAAATATTGAATACAATTAATTTAAAATCGACTCCTGTTTAAATCCTGTTTCAAATTCTCATGTGAAAATAAAAACAAGAATCCAAAACTTCCAACTGTACCTTCCATGAGACACATCTTGCTGTTGTTGTTCAGACATTGGGCAGTTCGGACACAAAATGGCAATATATGAACAGAATTGGACAAGATGCATTTACCAACAGAATTACTGATGAAACCCTACACCGGCTATTGATTGTATTAACTCACTATGGCTATGAATGTATTGAAAGGAATAAAAATCGATGAGGTCGAGAATCTTTCCAGTATGGCATTGCCTATTTGATTTATTATACCCTGGATGAAGTAGTTTTTATGGGGTTGAGCCAGAGATCTCTAAACTATCATACCAGCATAGTCAAGAGATGCAGCGCCGACTTACTAAAGTCAAATTCGACATGAAACTCTTATCAAGAGGTTTTGAGCGAGGAAAGCCCGGCCTATTCTGAATCCTTTAATCCAGTGGCACCAAAGTTGATTGACCGATCAGGTAGCAAAATTGAAAGCTGGAAGGAGATTCGCGAGCTAGGAGAGGGGAACGCTCACAAAGGGCCGATGTCATACGTACAATTAAGATACCGGTATAATTGAATTGTAACGAATATAACGTTTTTTGACTGTGAGAATGACGTAACAATTGGCGGTATCCAGAACACAACACCTCTTGAACAAAATCAGTTAATACCAATATATACAAGCCCTCTCTGATAGGAATAATTCCACAAACGCCATCCAAACCATTAATAATACTTAAAAATAATATCCTATTAGAACTACCCAAGTCAATTTAAAATCTAATAAACCAAATGCTCGTAATCCCACAGATTATTATTGAATCAAATAATTCAGTATTTTGAACGAATAGAGAATATTTCTAATCTCCGATCAAGCTGAGACCAGGACACTGAGGGTTGATACACAGTCACCAACAGTGGATACTTTCAATGTCCTATATTATTTTCATCTAATACAGGGTGATCAAAAAAAACATTAATTTCCTGATTACTTCTTCTAAAACTGTGTGAGCAAACTACGGCCAGTGGCCAAATCTGGCCCGCCTGATGCAACGACAATCAAATCCAAACCAAATTTATATGTTCTAGCTGTAAAAAACTAAAGGAATTTGTTGAGATTGCGACACAATTTAGTTTTGGCATGAAACTTATTGTTTTCCACCTATGCTTTTGTAACACTGTAAATATCGTTCACAAAATGTTTTTTGCGTCACACTTACATGGCCCACCAGCATAGGTGGGCAAAAAATCTTGCCCTTCTCTGTTCTAACAAGAAAGAGAATGTATTCAACATTGAACTTCTGATTGTGTGTGATTGTAACCAAAAGTTTCAGTAATCATAGACGATTCGCACAAAGTTATGTTCTCTCTAGATATGTTCCAAATGACCTGGGTACTAGACCACCAGCGACCACTGTTTAAGAATCGCATCACCCACATAATACAATAAAATTTAATTAAATATATTCCTATATCTTATTGCAACTCCCATAATTTTTAATTCAAAAGCTAATAAAGCCAATGCTCGTACTCCTACAAAACAAATTGATATTGAATCAAATAAAAATAAAAAGCACAACGAGTGTTAGCAAAACGATGTAATTTGCAGATGTTTCAAATACACCGGTTGTGCTTTATTTATCTTCGACATGAATATACCTGGTGGCAATCATACGCTATTGAATCAAATAATTCAGTATTTTGAAAGAATAGCAAATAAGTCTAATATCTGCAATATTGCAATTCCCATAATTTACAATTCAAAAGCTAATAAAACCTAACACTCATACTCCTGAGAAACAAAATTGATTATGAAAAGATTCCCATACTTCTGCTCAATTTGTATTCTCTCCTGTTCCTGTCGAACTCTCTCTGCTTCTCTCATTTGCTCTTCTTTCTTTTGAGCTTCTTCTAATTCTCTCCTTTTGCTTTCCTCCTCTTCTTGACGAATTCTCTCTTCTTCAAGCCTAAAAAACAAATTAATTGTAAAAAAGGCTGAGCAAACATGGGAGGCGGGAAAAATTATATTTTCAGTTGACCTTGGCATTTCAATGGTTGTTTGTAACTTTTCAGAAAAGAAAACAGAATCAAGAACTTACCAGTTTTTATATGACTATCAATTTATGGTGTGATGGCCTAAACATGAATGCCTCACACACATGTAGACTTACAAAAGAAGCCAATCATAACGCTGTCTACTGGACATGTCACTAATAAAAACACATGACCCAAATTCCAGCAAAGAAAACGCATCCCTCTGTTAGCTCCAGCCGTGGAAAATGCTTTTTTTCTAAGCCGGACAAAATTCAACCCTGGCCTCCATTAAGAGGCTCCTTTAAGAAAAAATTTATGCATTGAATTTTCCCGAAAATGATAATTTTGTGCTCTCATTTTGAGAAGGAGATATTCGATTAAATCAATGTCCTACTCCCATTATATAATTTAAAATAATTTGTGAAATATTCCAGAAGTGCTGAGACTAAGAGGCAAGTATTCATGCAAGTTGCAATCTTTAAAATGGTTAGTGCAATGATTTGTTTTTTCCGTCTCGTAAGATGTGCATCAAGATGGCTAACACTGGAACATAGTATGTGTACCAGGTTACAAGTTAGGACATAATTTTATCCTAATTTTCCTTATCTTAGTTCTATTACGAGTTCGGGGACTAGCCAAGTGACTTCCCGTAGTATTTGTACCTGAAATTATGGCCTAACCCTAACCTGGTACACATACTACGTTCCGGTGTCCACCATCTTGGTTCACATATTACATGAGTACTGGTATTGATTATATAAGAATGTGGCCATGAGTTTTGAGAGTCTATGGAAAGGGACAAGGCTGATAAATAAATTCACCGTTTTAAAAGCGTTTTAATAGGGTCCACCTCTATGCGAGGATATTAGTAAAAAATGAAATGTTGTGAAAAATGAACAATACCGTTTTCTCTCTTCTTCCTCCTTTTGTTTTTGATGGGCTGTCATAAAAGGAACAAAAACCGGCGCTAAATCTTGAAGATGTTTTATAAAATTCCTACGAGCATCGTTTGAGGAAATGTCTTCCAAGGATTCCCAAACTCTCCTGAAAAGTAGAAATTAAATAATTATTTTCAAGAAAACACAGGAATCTCCGAAAAGGAGATTGTATTGCAGCGCAGCTTAGATGTAGAATTTTTATGGCAAAAGTTTTTCCAAAGACTTCAGTTATGTGGAATCCCCGGCTTCATAGCTGTTTTCACGATTTTATTGCCTTTTACTCAGTGACGATCTTGAAAAATCATAACAACCGGAATGCACCTAATTCGTGAAACCGTGTTATATTTACAAAACGAGCGTGGACACTAACAGAAATTTTTGTCTGCCCTAAGTTAGAGCTGAGCCAAGTATATTTATAGCAATCCAATACATGAAGAAATTTGGCTTATACACGGATAACTCTCAAACTCAAACGAGATGGCATTATGCTAACTTGACTCCAACAGCTACAACTCGTTTGGCATGTCACAATTTTTCGGGTCGGCTTTATGTGACGATACACGGTAATTTAAAAATCATAAAGTAAAACCAACCTTCGATCATTTCCAAACATATCTAAATATCCGACTTCAGGCAGTTGTGTTTGTTGTGCGAAAGGTCCGAGTGTTGCTTGCTTAGTTAATGCAGCGAGATATACTTTGTCTTCGTAGCTCATGTCAAAGGTTCGTTTGCCTTCGTTTTCTGGGAAAATTAATAACTTGCGATATTGCAGTTTTTCTATATTGAAAAATAGCCGTCTCTAGAATCAGAAAACTCATAATGAGTGCTCGTAGCTTTGCTCAGAGATGATTTTCATTTATATCTGAGTGAGTGCCTGTAACTTTGCTCAGAGATGAGTCTCCTTTACTTTTGAGTGAGTGAGCGTAACTTTGCTTAGAGATGAGCCTGCTTTACTTCTGAGTGAGTGCCCATATTTTACTTCAGAATGAGTTCATTTAAGCTTGCTTTGAGCGAACGCTGAAAAAATAAATAAAAAAAACTAGAATTGTATTAAAATTATGAAATATCACCTTTATAAAATTTGATTGCCTTTTTATATGCTTCGTGTAACGAAAACCCCCAGTATGATTCTTCATCTTGTGTATCCGTTGATGCATAACTTGCTGTAGTATTTCCTGTTGGCGGTGTAACTTGGTCCGCAACTTCACCTTTGACCTCTGTATGACCCTCCGTGAGCGACACATTATTCATTTGTTGTGCAATATTATTTACAGCGACTGCAGCAGGCATCGCCTCTGCCATGGCTTAATTCTAAATTTGATCGAAGAATTTATTGAGTGATTATTATGCTAAAGAAGAAATATATTGCTGTATGGTTTGCAGATCAAAAATCGGTACTACCATGGGCGCAAGTTCACCAATCGCCGCTCCATTTTAAAATAATATAATGGGTACCAGGTAATCTGAACGAAACGTGCAATTATGAGAAGGGCCAACAGGAAATACTACAGTACCACAGGTTGTCTCACCTGTTGATAATGTATGGACTAATGATGATTGACACAGAATGCAGCAGCGAGTTGTGAACATAGCCGCTACCTTGTAGTCTACCACTAAAGGCTCGGCAGTAGGCGCATTGAGCTGTGTTTAGGAATCCTGAGACTGTGAGATGGATATATTGACAGAAAATATGTGTGAGAGGATTGCAGGATTGCCATAATCTTCATGTAACTGCTGGTCGATTACGTTTTCTACACCAGCGGTTCCCAAACTTTTTCAGCCACGAAACACTTACACTTTTTATCTCGCCTCGCAAAACACCAAAAAATGAACTGTAAAATTGATAAAGAAAAATTGTGTAATGTGGCGCTTCCCAATGGGTTCGCCGTGGCGAGTTGCTAATAAGCTGCGAAAACTAACAGAATTGTGGTAAACATACCTAAAGTATGATTGAATATTTTACATTTTGCATTTATTATGTATGCTTTATTGTTTCTCAATTTAAATGCTGTGTATATCCATCAATTCAATTCATTAATTCTACCATTCTATGTCGTTTACTTTCCATTACTCAGTGTTTGCCTTTAATGTTACGTCTATTGGAGATAGAAGTACTTGTCGCAATTTCATGAGCTGCAGACCAGCAGCTCTGTAATTTTTTCAGCCTTTCGAAGTAAAACCAGGCAGAGATAGAAGAAGAAGATTTGACCTTTTGCCTTTATTCTTTAGACCAGGGGTTCTCAACCTGGACCAGGGGTACTTGGATAGCAGTCGGGTTTTTTATTAATATCCTTAACAAAATGAAACTGACATACCCAAACAGCCGAAAGGCTTGCTGTAAACTTGATAACGAACTTACTGACTTGAACAGTCAAAAAGCTAAGCCGACGGTTTTATGGTAGCATACCGGTATGATTCATCAGTTTAATCGACTTCACTCTCCACCAGGAAAATTACTGAATTAGGCTGTGTTTCCCCATACAGGCCATATGATTAATCAGTCTAATCGACTTCACTCTCCACCAGGATAATTTTGAAAATCCTATCCTATATGCCTGTGGCTTGGTGTTTTACCTAAGCCTACCGCCTGAACCTATACAGGTATCGTACCGGTACCGCCACCGAAACACCAGTCCAGGTTGACGGTCCTGCCCTGGCACAGGTACCGTACCGGTAACTCTTGAAGGTCCGCCCGGCTACGGACTCGTAGGACAACGAGATAAGCGTCTAACAAAATAATAAGGCTGTTTCATCAGCCAATATACGTCATCTTTATGGAATTAATACCGTATATATAATTCCGATTCCTCAAAGTCTAAAACAAGCAAACCCAGAGATCCTGCACAAGTTTTCAAGACACGTACTCTGAATTAGCTACAGCAAATTCGCCGAGCTTGTGGTTGGTCTTTGACCCAAGGCGAAGATTAGAGATTACGAACTAACATTCAAAAAAGAAAAGAGATAACTCAATTTGAACTCTGACATGATAAAATAAATGACAACATACAAGACAAGTACAGCGCACAGAAATTTAGAAAAGATGTTGAAAATTCAAATAAGATTCAAAGCATGAGACATAAAAGTACTACTTGAGAAACCTCACCCTGTGATCAATTACCGGCATAAATACAATTTTATTTCGATCTGGGACGCGGACCCCTGTTTGTGAATCTTATTTTAGACGGACCCTCGTTTGTCCGCAACGCTCAACCAAAACGATGCAATCTCGGTGGGACCTTCACTTTTTGCATTTTATGCTTATCATAAGGGGTGTATGCCGCACGTTCAAGTGTTTTAGGCCAGTATGGTCTTGTGTATACATCCCATCCCGTCTTCAATGTTGATATTTACTAACTCCTGTGTTTTTGCTTTTACGAGACGAATAAACATACATACATACATACAATGGCTTTTTAATTGAAACCAGTTATTAAAGATCTATCAGATGATATTTCAACTAGTTCTACTTCTCAACGGCCTGAAAGAACAGTTTTTGTCGCTAATTCTAATACGTGCTCCCTAGTTTTGGTAACCCGGCTCTAAAACATAGAACAAAATATTAACAACACAGACAGGCGGTGGGAGGATCGGGAAAATATGAAACATCTAGATGTAGGTTCATAACAAGTAGATAGATAGATAAAGGCAATAGCTGGATAAGAAAAAAAATCCACAAAAAACGATTGGCGCATCGTGATAAGTTAGCGGTTCCCGGTATTTCTCGTTAAGTTCATCCCTTCTGGATCTTTTTATTCCCTCCTAACCATGTATTATTATTCCCCGATTGGGATACAATGCTAAGCTTTTAAAAAACACGCTTGCCATAGCGCCTTCTGAGGATGGTTTACGACTTCCTCTGTATATCGAGTCCATGCATCGGAAACGAGTAACTATTTTATGTACCAGAAATAAATTGGTGAGGTGGCCGTACATTTGAACCCATGTGTATCTCCGCGGGTTCAATAACCCATGGGTTAGGGCTAGTATGGGTTCAAATGTATGTATAGGTGTATTACCGGCTTTGCTTTGTCGGGGGTAAGTATGAAAATCACCCCCACGGCCCCACCCTCTAATGTACACAATGAAGATATCATGAAGAAATATGATTTTATTCTGAAGTTATATTATAGGAAGAGTTATGAAAACAGTAACTTATTAAAGACCATCAAAAATACATGCAAAGTATATTATGATGAAAAAAAAGAAAGACAATTATCGAATGTATGGATACTGACGTCAGGAATCCGCAGGGTAACCTTAGCTGTCTAGAAGAGAAGCAAGATAGATGTATGGATATGACCGAGTGTCATACAAAGGTGTGCCTGTGAAGTAAAAAAATATTTGGGTGGAATATCAGCCTGATTAAATTATCATTGCAGAGTATTCAAATTTTGAAATAGATTGGTCCAGTTGCTAAAAAAATGCTGTTCCTCGTAACAAAAACAATCTTAAAGAAATCGCAAAATGATCCATGGGAACACTTCTGTCAAAAAACATTGTTAATGCAAAAGCTTGTCAAGCTATACCACACCATTGGTATTTTCATATTTAACATGGGGATAAGAGAAAGGAATATAAGAGCCACAACAGTTTCACAAAGTTATTTTTCTTTGTGAATAAGGAATATTGCATAAGAATTCATAAAAATATTCAAATCAACACAAAATTAATTACTATATGCAGTATATAAGGTTGATTTAGAGTACCTAGCACATATTGACCTACGGTAACAGAACCAATTTGTTGGCGATGGGTTTTTTTGTTGTTACTAAATGGTAATTTTTATTTCAAGTGGAATTGCCTATCTTTGCGAATTTTTTTTAATAGTTTTTCCTTTGCATATGAAAGTACAGGGGCCACCGAATTTTTTGTGCAACAGAAGTGGGCGACGATAAAAAGAAGGTTGTGAACCACTGTCCTAACCTAACCAGAGATGAACAACATTAAAGAAAATCAATCAAAAAATTAGTCATGTAGCAATAACATGAGAGTACAAAGTTGGAAATTAACCAGCCAGCATAACGTTCCATATGAATGGACATTGTCAGTAACATGTAAATGTACTATATTCCTAACTCACGGACATCATTTCGTAACAGAAGTATCACAAATAAAAACTAACGGTAAATAGAAAAAATATTCCTGACTATAAAATATATAACGACTTAGAAGGTAAAATCATATATATTTTTTTATTTAAAAAATTCAAAAAGTGGAATATCATGTAACAGCTGTTGGGTACAACAGCAGGAAAATTTTTAAAATTGGGGGGTTCTGAATGTTAAATCGTAACAGCTAACGCATTCAGTTGGAGGCCGGAAAACGTGGATTTTCAGGAGTTTTGAGGGTCTAAAGAGCATTTTGAATTTTTTTGTCACATTTTAAAGGGGGTGGGGGGTCATTCTCTATCGCACTGTACAACAGCTATGCATACTTTTGTATCTTTTTATACTAAAAAAAGCCCAAATAAATTGGTACTCATCACTAAACGCTAATAGATGTAGAGCCACTATGATGCAATGAAGAATGATAATCTTAAGGCCATTCCCCAAACCATTCTTAAGGACAACATGACATCTCGCTTTAAATTGAATACTTTTCTTCACTGTAAAGCTGATAGTTACGAAGTAATACAAATAAAAATATTTACCACTACGGCATACAAACTAAACAATGAGGGGGGTCAACAATAAGGGGATTCCCCCACACTAACAAAGGACAAACAAGTCAAATTTTGCATATTAACATCAAGATTTGCTTTTATATTACTCATTTCAAATTTCACAAAATATTTTTCCTGAACATTTTTGTTTCAAAGTTTACATCCATTTGTGTAAAATAACACTTGCCACTTACAGAGTGTTTTCTCTTTGTTGTGCCTAAATTGTTTGAACCTAATAGGATTTTGAATTTACCAAATAATATGCTGCTCTATGCTATACACAGGGAAACTTCACAGTATATGAGTATTGGACAAAACATGGCTGCAATATGTATTGTAGGGAAAAATAGGCAAGTTTTTATTTAGGGCTATAGATGAAGGGTTCAGACGGGAATTTCGAATCGCCGCCATCTTGTTTTTTGTCTGCCTACAGGAAGAGATGAATCCTTCATTTTTTTTATTTATATCAAATTTCCCAAATGAAATTCTGAGATATGACTTTTTTCAGTTTTCAGTTATAGATGAAACATGTTTCTTACTGTGTCTGAACACTCAGCGAACTGTCTGAGTGATAGAATATTTATGTGTTTTCACTAATTCATGTATCTGGAGGACCGATTACATTAAATCAGTCAATACAACTACATATATCCGAAGTATTAAAGATTCGATTTGAAAAAATTATTCGATTCGATTCTGAAATCATCAGGTATTCGAAAATGCCCAAACCTGGTTACAATATAAAGAAAAACTATAGTAGAAAGAATAGGAATGGAGTCTTGTGATATAATACTGTAAGTATCGGGAAGAGTACCAAAGCAGATAGTACATGTCAGAATAGGGAGTACAAATATAAGAACAAAATTAATAAAGTTTGATGTATTACTGTCGTATCTCATAGCTGTTTATTAGTTTATGCTTAAGACTGAACCTATTGATTAAGGCAGTTGTTTCCAAAGTTATCTGGCCCGGGGCCAAAATTCAAAATGAAGGATAATCGTGGGCCAAGGGGCCCGATACAAGTACGTATAATTAAGATACAGATCCGAATTGTTACAAACATACACAAACTGTGATAATAACATAACTCGTGAAGTGATAAACATTTTTCCACATAAATTTGGCGGGACATATTGAATTGTTGCAAAGGCTGTAATTAGTCGACAAGAACCACTGTTTTAGGGTTTATGAGTACTTAAAAGGAAAAAGGCTTAAAATGCCCATAACTTCTTTTTAACGCTGATAGGAGCGAGAGAGAGGAGAATCAATAACATGGCTCAATCATATGTCAAACCACTTCTTTGTATTAGCTTACCGGTCCAGGTGGGGCATGGGAGGAGGTTCATGTTTATTAGAAAGAGAGGAAAAGATATAAAACGGTTTAATCATATGCTGAACCACGGCCTCTAATTTGGTTAACAGTCCATGTCAGGTACGGGAATTGTAAGCCAGTGAATTGTTCCATATGCATGGACTTGGGATTTAGAATATAGATAAATAAAATATATTCTTTAGAGGTTAGGGTTTCCATATTTATTTTAGAGAGAGAAAATATGACTTAATCATATTTTGACCCACAGCTTCTCGTTTGGGTACCAGTCATGTTGTGTTAGACAGTAACATGTTTCAGATGCATTAGTTCTAGGAAGCTGGGATTTGCATACTCATTTCGGATAGAAGGAAAGTTGATAACCCAACTTAATATTATAGCAAATCACAGCGTTTCGTTCCATACCCAGCCCTTGTTGGGTATATGCTTAGTCAGTCAGTTATTCATTTCAGATGTATGGGGTTTAGAAAATCATACTATATCACCTTGGATTAAGAAAACCTTTAAAAAAAATTTAAAGTACGTTGTCTGTCCTTCCTTTTTTACAAAAACTAAAATTTCTTTCTCCAGGGTACGTAACCATAGCAACACAGATGAAAAATGCGACTGCGTGGCAAATGGAAGCGACAAGTAACATTATTTTGACTCCCCCATATGATGTAATAATAGGTCCACTTATTGCAGCATAGATGAGATTTCCAGCGTACATCTGGCAAGCAAGGATTGCGCAATCAGTTCCATATCCTCGCTTCGTGGCACCAGGGCTCTTCATTACATACTGGAAAAATAGAGCAGTGCATTATTGCAACTGTATTGCTCAGGAACTGGTCTCTCAACTGGGCCCCCAGTCCCTCTAAGGAGGCCATAGATTGGTTCTCCAGGGTCACAAGCAAAGGCAATCATTAAATTCCATGTGTGATGACTAATTATATTTACTTTAATTGATTCAAATTTTTTCTATAATTATAATTAAAAGAAAGTAAATATACAGTAGCATTTCATCTTATGTTTGTTGGTTTTTTATTATCAATTGTTGCGCAAAAAATTAATGATTATATAAGATTATATGATTATATAATAAATTAGGTATTTTTATAGAAGAGCAAAGAGCCCGCAAGTGAATTGAACAACAATTTCCCACTCACATCTTTTTCCTGGTGGTATTTTCCGACTAGAATATACGGAATTGTTAGTGATGTACTGACAGTAATTCCGATTGTCCAACTCAGCATTAAGATGACATATTTGTTCGGGAACATGTACATAACAGCTGTGGATAATGCTGTGAGGAGTTGTCCACCAGCGTACACGACTCTGAGAGAAACTCTCGTCAGTATATCAAAGTATTCAAGAGTAACTGAAACAATAAAAACAGAGTTAGCTGAAGTTTTGGTACTCCTGAAGTATGCGTACCAAGGTGGCGGACACCGGAACGTAATATGTATACCAGGTTAGAGAGCTAGGCCATAATTTTATTCTAATTTTCTTTATTTTAGTTCTATTATGAGTTCGGAGACTAGGCAAGTGATTCTCGTAGTATTTGTACCTGAAATTATGGCCTAACTCTAACATGGTACAGATATTACGCTCCGGTGTCCGCCATCTTGATGCGCATAGTTCAGGAGCGCCAAAGTTTTTACAAGGTGTTCCCACCTTTACTCTAAACAAGGCTCTGTATCAGCTACATAGCTCTCGGTTTAGACCTTTTATTATTCCAGAATTTGTTGTGGTTTTGTTATTGACTGCTTGCAACGCTTCAAAATTATGTATGAAATACAACACGCTTCATATTTTCGATTTTTGTTTTAAGAAGTTTGTTTAGCATCTCATATGATAAGATTACAATACTAAAATGTTGATGCGGACTGATTAAAAAAAATGCAAATGCTTGTTAGGAAATGTTTGTTTAGAATTTTATGTAATATTTTTGTTTACAAAGATAAGGTTTTTACCATCCATACAAAGAAGGCTCCGTTAAAACAGCCATTTATACATAAAGATTTACTTTCTCTGAAATGACTAGCATCTTTACAAATACCCAATTTTTTACTCCTAGAAGAGGTGTTTGATTTAGGAGTTCAATGCCTGATTCTTGTGATGTGATGTCAACATGGTTATGAATATATATATCAGAAGTCTTAGTTTACACAGGTTAATTTCAATATCTTGGTATTTCTACAATTACTATTTCTGAAATAACAAGCCTTTTTACAATTACCCAATTAACTGTACTCTGGAAGCGATGATGGGTATGAAAGTTTGATCCAAGATTTAACCTGTCATGTCAACATAGTTAACCAAACACTCAAACCACTAGTCTTACCTGAGAAAATCATCATGGACACTGCATAGACTGTCAAGCCCCAACAACCCATATGAACTCCATCATTGTATAGTTTCAGTTCGGTTGAGTTCAAAGGTGCCTGGGAAGAAAGAAAATTTTAAACAAATAATATTAACTCATTCATAAGTCTCTTAACACTTTTACTCTAATGCTCTGCACCAGCAGTACACAATCTGTAATAATTTGGGAAAGAATGAAAAGTTTCTGGTTTTGCCCGAATGTTGACTAAAATACCTTCAGTCCAAACAAGGGACGGTGTAAATGGTCAAGGATATATATATAAGGAGCTACTTGAGCTCACTGATACAGAGCTATTACTTTTAAGACTAGAATTCAGTTGGAAACCGAAGACTTATCGATCGAAGGTTAGGGGATCCCCCGAAACAGTGGTCTCACTCCATAGTGACACCGTGTGTCCCATCACTAATTAATTAATAACTCGCTAATTATACGACATAATCCATCCAAAATCAATAGGCTTCTGATCCGAGCTAAGATGAATGCACATGCAAAATTTCGAGCAGATTGAACCTCGCTTTCGTGAGATATCGCGTGCATCTAACAGACAGACAAACAGACAGACAAATACCTATCAACATACTTACCGATCTGAAGATCGATAAGTAACAACTGGCATTGGCTACTCAATGTATTACACACAAAGTTAGGTAGTGGGAATGGATATTAGACAAGAGATCACCGTGATTCAGCATTGGCTTCTCAATTTATAGCACCCGGGAAAAAGTGTAAGCGCAGTGTTGAATCCAACTCCAACCTCTATCCCATTGGGCCCACAAAGTTGCAGTAAAAAACTGTTGATTGAAGAAAATACCCAATACTGACAAATATTACAAATCTTCAAATGCAAGTCATCACTCACCACTGGATCTCCTTTATAGACAACACTTCCAAATATATTGGTGTACCAGAGCAATAGAACTTCGATTCCTATGAAACTGGAAAGCAATGAAAAGCAGAGGTATCGCAACTTCATTGGCATTGTGAGAATGGAAAGCCATAACTTTCTGAAAGACACTGGTTTGGCTTCACCTAAAAAAATTGTCAGAAGGTTGAAAAATTATTAAAGGAGAACGACCTTTATGAATTATCTACATAAGAATTGCATTGGATAGGATTGAATTAGTTAGCCAGTCATTTGTTTTGAGATGCGTGGACTTGGTGGTGAAGGAACTGACCAGCAGTTATGTGACCATCTTATGACAGCGAGGAGTCCAGCAATCCTCTCGCACATAACTATACCCGCATGGAATTCGAACTTGCGAACACATGCAAGGTAATCAATCAGAGGTGCGGTGGCACCTCTTTCTAACGCTTGGTTAGTACAATGCACCACACCGCCGAGCCTATTGACTACTCAATTACACCCTGGGTAGAGCTAAGATCAGAAGCCTGAAATCTAAGGCCTGAAATGTCAATCATTACGTTCGGTTCGAGCTTCTCTATCGCTGACTTTTTTTAAAAATAAACATATGTGTAAAAAATATATACTAAAACTATGTGTGGAATTCAAAGAACTCCTGAATAAAATATTAAATTTCAGGTTTGCTTCGGGCTCGACCCTGCAAATCCAGTTAATTAGTCGGGCTCGGGTCAGGTCAATACCCACATGCCTCTAACCCTGGGTGACATGCGGGGTCACTCGAGATAGGGAATCTATGATGCCTTTCAAGCTTGACATTGAGATTACAAAGTGTTTTGACAAAAAGTGCAATTTAAACACAGGCTATCACACAAGACTTTTTACGCAAAGTAGTCAATGGATTCACAGGTGCTGGAAAAACTTGTCAAAGCATGATTTATAAATAACAAATGCGCTTACCATCGTCTGCAGTAACCTCATCAACTTTCTTTTTCCTTCTCTCTCTATTTTGTAATCTCTCTCCTTTATTCGAGGTCAATAAAGCATCATTATCTTTAGAATCAAAATTTAATCTCCGTACTGCGCCATCGTTTTTGCAAGAGTCATTATTATTTTCTTTAAATGGGAAATCCCCCTCCTTTTTGAAACAAGAGTTCTCATTTGCGTCAACGATGTATAATTTCCCATTTTGTTCATTATTAGCGTTTTTAATTAATTTTTTTTCAGGCATAGACTCCTCCCCGGTTAAATTAAAATAATTTTTTGGGTCCACTTCACTCCCCGGGTTATTAATGTCTGTGTTACTTGAAAATGCATATATTTTGTTTTTTAATATTTCTAGAAATGTTGCGGGGTGACGATCGTTGCCTGATGATAGATTAGGCATGGAACTTCCATACTGGTCTTCATCTGTGAAAATAAAAACAAAAAAATGGTTAGTGGAGGTAGCGCAAGACTAACTCCCATTCCTTTCTCAATGCCCTTGCGCTAGTGGATGCGTACAATGCAAGGATGCTGTAGCAGGAATAGAAATACCATTTTATGCAATTCAAGCGTCCACACTAACAGACTCTTGAATTGTATAACAAAAAATTGTGATGTTAATTTTCATTGAATAATGTATGAAGTAGTGGTGTCCATACTGGGGGGTAATTACCCCCAAAGAGGTAATTTGGTAATTTAATAAGATAATTACGATGTTTACTGTTTTTACCAATTTCTTTTGTGATCCCTGTACATTTGACAAGTCTGCAAAAAAGCTGAACATGCAATGCTCGCATCAATGAGCCTAGTCGTCTAATCACATGATTCGTAGGGTCGTAATAACAATAGAAGAATCGGATCATAAGATGCAATATGCGTTAGCATCACCACCATTTTTGGTCAAAGAAAAAGTGACATCGATATGACCAGTAGTTTTATGGAAGGGGTAATTGAGCTTTTGGTAATTCGCTTTCTCAAACTCGTGGCCCAGCTAAGCTTTTATTGTGGAAAACCTGAGAGCCCCAGACCCACCGAGACTCTACCTCCAGTGGCCCCTAGTTAAATTGAGTTTGAGACCCCCGTTTTAAGGGTAACAATATTAAAAATGGTATAGATTAATCCTAATGTTCTTTGGCACATTTATCGTCATTATCATTCACTTAGAGATATAATGCTTTCAAGAGATTCTAACCAATATGAGATTTTCCCAAAAATGACGAGTCATTCTCATCAGACGATGAGTCATCTTCTGTTGCTAGAGAAGTAGTAGTTGCCGTTGACAACGAGGCAGGATCATTTAATCCTTCTGGGCAAGACATTGTTAAAAATACACTTTTGCATAGCGACACTCGAGGCAGCAACGTGATACTTCGGACGGCTGGAGACATGAAAGCTGTACCTGTGAAAATTAAAATCTGTGATTATTCTTTTTTAACTTGTTAATCAAAGCAGGATTGCAAACAAACTCTGATGTACAAAGAGCTATAAACCTGACATGAGCAAACTACGGCCCACGGGCCAAATCTGGCCTGTTAGATGATTCAATCTGGCCCGTCTTACTAAGACCAAATTTTGATGTTTTAGCTAAAAATAGCTTAAGGAATTTGTTGAAATTGCTATTAAATTTACTTTTGCCATGAATGAGGCGTATTGTTTCCCCCATTTGCTTTTGTAACACTGTAAATATTGTTCATAAAATGTAACTTATACGTCACACTTACATGGCCCGCCAGTATAGATGGGCAAAATTTTTCACCCCTGGTCCAGTAACCTGCCCCCCTGCAAGAGTTTACTACGGTCCTAAGACTGATAAAAAAAAATGCAAGTGTCCACTAATGCACAGAGAGCTATATATTTGTAATGCACGTTTAATCAAAACAAAGTCATAACTAAAATAGCAAAGAGGACTGATAAAAGGGCGCTACGGAAGTATTTGTACCAAGATGACGCACAACCTGAATCCTAAGCTGGTACACATACTATGTTTAGGTCGTGCGCCATCTTGGTACACATACTTCGGGAGCCAACTGGAAACCGCTGAAGAAATATATCTTGGAGAGCATTATCTTGAGTTTGCTCGAGGAAACATCTTAAATCACTAACTACAGTAGCAAGGAGACTAAAAAATAAGTTCCAAATGAATACTAACACTCTATAACAGGGCTACTCAACTGGCAGACCGTGGTCCGAATCCGGACCTTTCGAGTATTTTATTCGGACCGCAACTAATTCTTTATTTTGGATCATGAGCCCCACTTTTGAAGTTCCATATTAAAAAATGTCTTTTATTGTTTTAAATAAATATGAAAAGAACATTAACACCATAATAAACAATCTTGATTGACTAATAATCATTAGCCGGTCGTGGAAGTGCGCGTTTACGGATGCCGAAATATAATTTCTTAAAACACCGAACGCAAATATTTTTGAAGTTTTGTATGAGGATTTTCGGCAAAAATAGTTGAGTAGCCCTGATCTATAACAGGGATTCTCAACCTTTTTCCTGTTAAGTACCCTCAGAGTCACGAAACAATCATCTCGAACCCCCAGTAATCAGACACCAAACAAAGTTGTAATATATTGACTAACAATTTATAAATTTTACTGTAAAGAATATTTGTGTTGATGTTATTGCCCAGTTCCATAAAATATTTTAATATTAATTAATAGTTGATTAATTACTCGATGAATCATAATTACTTGAAAATATTACCCACCAATAATTTTTTCCTCTCGGCCTGCAATTTCCGATTCCTCATTCTCCAGAACATCATTTTCACAAAACGTACCGTCAACATTAGAAAACAAAACTTTTGGTACACTGACTTCCTTGTTGAGGTCAGGGGTCACAGTATCTTCTTCCTCAAGCAGGGGTGACCGGCTTCTATCATCAACACTTCTACCGTGCTTCTGAAATTCAACAAATAACAAGAGGTTTATAATTCATAAAAAGCAATTTCCATGCATTTACATATCATCAAAATGCGCGTTTGTGCGTAAGATTGCAAGCCATAATTTCATGGGGGAACACCCATCAGTGTGGTGGGGTTTTGTTTGAGTGAGTATTATAGCTTTATATTTTCCTGAGTGGGGGCGGTGAATCCTATTGCATTAATATGTATGTCATTGTTGCTGGTTTTGTGGTTGCACAGCCTAACCTAAGGGGTTAGACCGGTGCCTTTAAGTCAGGGGTTCCCAAACCGCGGCCCGCGGGCCGGGATTCAAAATGACCCGCCGAGCTTGAGTGAAATAGTGTGCAAGTTAGTGCAACAGATTTTGCTTCACCTTTTTTCATTCTAGATAGCGCCAAGTGTTACGCCATTATCACACTTCAAGCACGTGTTTTTATCGTAACAATTCAATTAAAGCATTATCTCAATTATTCGTACCGGTATTATGATTACATAGGGCAGTAATTTAGTTATGAACCATAAGAGCTTAGACATGTCACACGCTTTCAGGCGCTACACTCTTCCGGCCCGCGAACATCCCTCCGATTCAAGTTTTGGCCCGCGGTCAATAAAGTTTGGGAACCCCTGCTTTAAGTACATTGGCATACCGGGTTACCAATATCTGGTTCGAACCATACATCCACCAGGGTGCAATCCATTGTGTGGCAACGCAGAACCAGTAAGATTTCGGTCATTCCAAAAACAATAGACATATCGGGTTTATTTTAGAGCCTAGTTCAGAGTGAAAGTGTATCATAAACACAAATATAACTGTTATACAATTAATTTATGAACGTCCAGCTAGCTGTGAAAAGGATGGCACCCAACTGTCAGCCATATAGCATTGCCGAACTGGGCATTTCTGATATTAATATTCTGACCGCACCAAGCTAACAAAATTATAAAACTCACCGTTCCCAATTCTTTTAAATTCGTTACTGCAACATATGGTTCGGACAGTGACTTAAGAGCACCATTAGTGATGACCTTTGAATTCTCTTTATGCTTCACTGAACTTGATCTGCCAACAGTGTGTCTCTTTTCCCATTGAACCTCCTAAAAATGAAAAAAAAAATTAATTTTAAAAATCTTTTCCTAAATCTAAAACCTGTTTTCAAACTTTTATTTCCCAGGTGAAACTAATTTTATTGAGCACAAGTTGGCATGGCCTATTTTATAAACATAGTACTATTTTCCATATTTAATCCTGGACGAAAAAGACGCCTTCATGAAGGCCGAATTACATGATATACAACGGTCTCTCGTCCAGTTACCAGTTCATGTTGTATATGAGAATAGCTAAATGCACAAAAGTTCATCTCAGAACAAACTTATGGACAATCACTGTATGTCACGAGCTGTTGAAACGAAATAAAACTCACTCACCTTTATACTCAGCATCGTCATGGCAGCAGTTGTGATGTAAACAATGATGGCAAAAATATAAACGACTTTGATTTGAAATCCGATCACATAATATTCAAATATATCTTCCCACTTGATTCCGTCCACAATGAAACCCAGAGCTCCTCCAAGACCTGGAAATGAACATGAATAAAATTTTATTGATGTTGAAGACCAAAATCGAATATATACTATAATTACCTAATATTTTTGAGTGCTCGATATAAAATATTCTAATTTACGGAATAGATTCTAAACATGGAATACATATTGGCAAACCAAATATTGCCTAAAATTTTTTTTTGAAAATGAAGTATCATATATCCTAACTTGGGTCTTGTCAACAGAAATTCATATATAGCATAACAAAAAGTAATGTTTGACCCGATGACATCGACAAATAAGCAAGCAATGCAAAAGTCATTTCGTGTATAAAAATCCCACAACCCCTCACCCATAAATAGCGTCTGGATCGTAAAAGCTCTTTGCTGGTCCGCTGGTGAACAAACATCGAGAGTAAACGCTCGCAGCGGAGTTTCGAGTTGATCAAGACAGAAATCCATGACTTGGGTCCCGAGAACTCCAATAACGATACCCAGTGTTCGCTGGTCGGGTGGATGATCAGTGATCGCCATCGCTGTTAAATAAAATTTAGTTTTTTTGAGCATTTGAACATTTTCAGTCTGAGCAAGGCTCTGTATGGACAGACACTAAGACTGAATGCCCCGCCATAAATTGGCATAATTTCAGTAAACCTTGCGATTTCAGTGGTCGCCCATTAATTTTTTCAGGTTTTTTGGAGGTGGGGAAGGGGGGGGGCAGGGGCTTTTTATTGTGTATTTTAAATGGTCTCATTACAAGGAATGTTATATTACGATTGTGACATCACTTCTGAATGAATGTGTCATCTTAATTGGATGTGGTTTTCTATGGTCTTACTTGGCTCAGCAATGATTCTCTTTTACCCCCATAATTCTATATAATTTCAGTAGCTCATGGATTTACAGTGTTCGGCTCCAAATATGCTCTCGAGTACTTTTAAGCAAGTGTAACTTTGCTTATAAAGAAGTTTTCTTTACTTCTGAATGAGTGAGCGTAACTTTTCTCAGAGATAAATTTTTTTGCTCTGGGTAGGTGCCTGTAACTTTGCTCAGAAAAATGAGTCTCCTTTACTTCTGAGTGAGTGCCCAAAACTTTGATCAGAGATGAATCTCCTTTATATCTGAGTGGGTGCACGTAACTTTGCTCAGAGATAAGTCTCTTTTACCTCTGAGTGAGTGCATGTTATTTTGCTCAGATACGAACCATCCTTATTTTGTGTGCAGGTCACCATTTTGCGCAAATTTCATTGAAAAAGAAGATGAAAAACAACAACATCCACTCACCTAGATCTCTGCTAAATATCAGCAATGTGAGAGCGATAATCGTGCCCACCACAAACCCTAGGATAAACGGTCTCCTCCTTCCCCATTTCAAGGTGCATCTGTCACTCCAACTTCCCATGATTGGCCCGAGTAGAAGTCCGACTGTAGGACTACAGAACCAGATATAGCTGTAGACACTCTCGGACATGCCTGGATGAAGAAAACAGGGTTAGAAATTAATAAAATTCATTCTGAATGAATAATGTACAATAGAAATCAAAGAAAATGGAATTGAATTAGAGCAAAAACAATTTGGACATTCTCAGACATGCCTAGATGAAGGATAGAGAACCAAACAAGACATAGCTGTATATGTTTTTGGACGTTTCTTGAAGACAATACAGGGCCAAAATGCATGAAAGTTTTGATCAAATTTGAGCAAAAAAACAGATGGAGCCATAGACATACTTAGACATTCATGGATGTGAATGCAGGTAAACAAGTAGTTACAGTTTTAGCAAATTAAACGAAGATATATTCATCTGTTAACTTTGAAATAGTCGGAAAGATGAATTTAATATTAAACTATTCTAAGTTATTCTTAAATTCAAGAATTAATAATATCGAAGGTGCTCCCGAAGTATGCGAACCAGGATGGCGGACATCGGAACGTAACATGGGTAACAGGTTAGGGTTAGGCGATAATTTTTTTCCAATTTTCCTTATTTTAGTCCTATTATCAGTTCGAAGACCAGCCAAGAGCCTCCCGTAGTATTTATACCTAAAATTATGGCCTAACCCTAACCTAGTACACATATTATATTCCGATGTCCGCCATCTTGGTTCGCATACTTCATATCGAATTTATTTAATTCACAATAATTTCTGATTCTAAAACCTCTATATTTCGCTGAAGATATCTCTTTCTAAATTTGACTCTCAATATCCAGTTAACAATAGTATAGAATATAGATACATACCTAACTGCAGCATGATTGGCGTCACCAAAACAACTTCGATTGCGTACAAGAAATCTCGACCACACATGAGGGCAGCATGGAGCCATAATTGTCCCCATGGTCTGTGTTCTGGAATGTGTCTTATCTTTGTGCCGCTTGAAGATTTGGTGCAGTGTTTCACAGTGGGTTCTGGAGAATAAATTTCATGATTTGGATGGGAATTCGATTTATTTATTCATGTTAATAATAAATAAGGGTTCACACCTCACACTCACTACCTCACCTAGGGAATAATAAATATGGCAAATAATGGCGCCTGAAGAGATTCTCGGTCTTTCCGAAAAGCTGCTTATGAAGACAAGTTAAGCATGAGATGCAGCAAGAAATGCTCTAGTTATAGTTATAAGGTTCAGGGCATGATGGCTAAGTAAATATATCATTGAGTAAGTCTATGTTGGTGTCACGCATAGGGTAGCAATCTTCAAACCCTGTGCCAACCGCAGGATGCAATAAATTTGGTAGGTGAAGATGAGGGATGAACATGTCAAGTGGGTCGTTATGAAACAAGTTTGAAAAACACTTGTATAGAAGAAGTATCCTATATAATTAGTTTATCTCGTGTAACTAATAATAATCACGGTTCGTTTGCAGAATTGAATTTTCACCAATGTTATGTCATTTCTCGTCAATAGTATTAGTAACACCACAGCATTATTGATCCAAAAGAACATTTTGAAAATCAATTATTTCCCTTCATAAGAAGGATTATCCTTCAACCTAAACCAACTAATCTCCCCTTACATAACCACAACAAAACCTTTCCTGTAGTGAGATAGATTATTATTATGTCGAAGCAAAATAATCTTCTCTTTCCAATCTAATCTCAGCTAATTAGCTGGTAGTGGATACTTACGCAGAGCCTTGTTCAGAGCAAATGACTATAAAAATGTATTGTGCTCCTGTTCGCCTACTTTACTTCAAGTTCTGTAAGGGGATGGAAGCCTATGGGCAGGGGGTATACTCACTTGGCTAACACAGACAGTCCTCGAACTTGTGATAGAACCAAAATAGGGAAAATCGGAATAAAAATTATGGCCTAACGCCTAACCCTAACCTGGTACACACACTACAGAAGTACCCAAATGTTGTATATAAATGCAGCTTGGTATTCCATAAAGTAGTAAACTGTTTGCCATTATCTAGCAAAGAACACAACGGTAATATAACATCTCTTGTAACGGGACAACAATAAGAAGCCCCATAAAAATTCCTCCTTGTTGGGAAACACTGCCATAACATATACTTTCCTGTAGTAAGACCATCCAGGATACACGATAAAAAAAAATCATCTTACTGACAACAAACATATTATATAATTCATCCTCATTGGGAAACACTGCTATCACATAACCTATCCTGTAATGAGACCCATTCAGTATACAAACGGCTGTGAAGTTCAAAATTTGTCATGCTTTTATTAATATCGGACCCATTTTTTGAGACGACTTTTGGAGATAATCAAGTCAAAATTTTTGACAGAAACTCAGAAACCAATAAGGTGACTGAACATTTGCAATAGACACTTGATCAGGAGTACCTTTAGTGGCACCTTTGAAGTATACACAAAAGCAGTTTGTTAGACAGGAAGCCAATCATGATAAAATGCATATTATCATGATAAAATGTGCCCAGGGCACCGTGAGAGAAACCTAGGGCTCCCTGCGCTATTCGTTTACTTATTATTACAATAATAAATATTTTTTAAATAGAATGCAGCAAATACATCAGAGTCATCAAATAAAGTAATTATGGTTAACCCTTTTTTTCCGCTGTATACAATCGACTTTATGTACCATTTTATAATATATAATGACCAGTTAACCAAAAGTACAAGGAACACCCCCAATATCTCTTTAAAAAGCTTATTTTCGCGTCTTCCTACTAAAACGCGCCCAAATGACGTAGGCGAAACCGTTCGACCCTACGCGTGTAAGAAGAGAGAAATTTCAAAAAATTTTGAGAGAAAGAAACGAAATTCCAAGCGCTCTTCTGAAAGAGAGTTACGTCACCTTTGCAGAAAAACCAGACTCCGCTTCGCAAGCGAAGCGAAACGCGAAATAATCAATGATATGTGAGAGCATGTCCACGATAGTTGTCTGGAATCTTTGTTTGTTTATTATGTGCGCGAAATTGTTTCCCGCTCGTTCAAATGACTTATTTTTGAAGTAATGACAAATACTTTCGTGTATCTCTAAGCTTTGAAATACCTACACAAATAAAATTCACTTAGTAGTAAAATAAAAAATTTACAAAAAAACAAAATGTTGACAGATCAAGCACGGATCATAGTTGGATGCTCAAAATGATTCAGTTAGTGCGGAATACTTCACAAAACATGAACATAAACGTAAAATAGTCCGAAAATAACTATTATGACCAAGGATTGTAGTACGAATATATATGTCATACGGAACAAAAGAGTTTAAGTAACAAGCTGTTTTATTTTTTATTTTTATAAATTTATTGTGGGACTTCGTAAATAATAGTCAATCCTTTCACAGGTTCCATGAAACCAAAAGTTTGAGAATCTTCAGGGACTTATACAGGGTTGAAAAAAAATTATGAAAATTCACTTTACCTTTTAACAAAGCGATCTCCTTTGATTTCTCTAGAGAAGAAGAATCATCATCTTGTCCCTCACTTTCCATATTATGACAAAACTATGATATTAAATTATCTTTCTGTGACGAATAATAGATGTTGTTTGTTAACATTTTCCAACACTTCACAAAATTTGTATAGGCCTACAGAATAAGAATTAAAATGGCTCAAATTTGAACAAGTTCCTTCAAAGTTATTAAGGCCAGATATATGACCCCATTTACTGTTGGATTGGCATACTCAATAGAGGCCTTCAATTCCATGATATTAGACAAAATGCATACGGCTGTGCCGTCTGTGTAACAATGTTACATATTCAATAAAGGCCCAAGCCCCTTTTATGTCTCTCAAATCCTTACAATACTGCAATATATCAAAATTTAATTTAAAATCCCCACACATTAGGATACCAATAACATTTAGCAGCAGGATAATATTCAAATTGATTCAAAATTAAATAAATGCAATATTGCAATGCAATGTAAGTTTAACGTAAACACAAAATCCTAAAATGTTAAGTCATTACATACGAACATCCTTCTGCAAGAATAATTGCTAAATATATCCACATTATCAGCACTCTAACATTTCTTTGTTTGAAAAACTCGAACGAAAAAATAATCAAAGTCCAGACGTCCAAAACCTGCTATTTTAGGCAATTTTCCAACAGCACTGGCACTTATGCAAAATAAATTGACCACTTCAGGCAATTTGGAAGGACGGTAATTTGTATCGTAGCCGTTAAATTATGATCTTTATCTTTTTATAACGTGGCCAAAAATAATGCCAAAAGCTCTTATATAAATTTGCTATTTTACATTTTCCATGACTTCAATGCAAAATAGTTCTATGTCTGCAGTCAACCTGTACAGACATTGGAAATGTTGATAAAACTCTATTGTATTCTTTTTACCGTGCATGTGATACCACGAACAAGCATGGCGGCAAATACTCAGTATGGCCATCCCTGCATCAACTGTATTTTATTAAAAACAAAAACACTACACGTCGAAAGCATCTCAATTGATTTTTGTGCAGCCAGATGATGTAGCATTTCGAGACTTTTGGAACTTTTTAAAATACGATATTTTAGGCAAAAGCTTGACATACTAACACTGAAATGAAGATTTACGTTCTATGTTTCATTGCTAAACTAGCATGATCTCAATGCTAAATGTGTAAATTAGAGTATTTGATGTACATAATAACATTGACAAAACCATATCGTTTGCTTTTTAATGATTTATACAAGTATCATAATGAAAAAACCGGGTTAAGGTTATCCTTACATTAACTAAACACAAATTAAATCAAAACGGCTCAATTGAATTTTGTGTATTTTGATGATGCGGCAATCCGAGACTTTCATACTATGATAACATAAATATTATGAATTGTGTAATCATAACCTCATTTCCTGTGATTGATAATGCAGCCGTGTTTCAATGCAAAATGAAAAATAAAATATTCGAAGGAAGCAATTCATAAGAATTTGTGGCGTTTTTGTGGTTGTTGGACGCTCTGATCTAGTGGTTAACTATTAGACTCATCAAATACCCTCAAACCTCAATAACCAAAATTCTTGTGCCAGCAACTACTAGAAAGCCTATGTTAATAAATGAAGGCGCGGCAACAGTTTCACCCAAATATTTGTATCTATCCCTTCTTTATTAAAGCTTGCATTGGCTGATCTTTGATAACTTGTGATATGCTCAACTTGCGCTCTTGTCTTTGAATAGTTTGTAATGTGAGAATTAACACGAAATGAAGTTTCCCTCCCTGAAATGGTATAGATCCAATATATGGAAGCCGCTGTTGTTAAACGTTGCGTTAGACAATAAGTTGAGAAATACCAGACCATTACCGAAAAAATCGTTTCTTTTTTGTCTCATCTGTGTTTAAAACTTGGCATAAAATGGTCACATTCTTGCCAAATTAACATGGAAAGGAAATATCAGTGTCTAAATCGTGATATGATTGTCTATGAGCACCAACCATTAATGAGTTCACACATCACGTTGATGAGCATATTATGTTATATTGTTTTAATGTTATGAAAGTAAAATTTTTTTTTCAAAGAGTCGTGATAAAATTAGAAAAAATGAGTCATGAGTTCACAAAGAATGGGAGCCTCTGGCTTAGATAATTTATTTGTAATCTTTCATGGTACAAAAACAAGACATAAAAACAAGAAGAAAATTTGAATGAGACATAAACATACTACATGGGCAATCTTGCCGTGTGGCATAGCATAGGGGTGTGCAACCTTTAATACAGGAGTGTCAGATACAAGTAACTGGGATAAACTGCGGGCCGCACCTTTATTTAACATAGGATTTCTAGTACGTACCAGATTGAAGTAAATTAAGGACTCGTTTTGCGGACCACACCATTCAAAATTGGCACTTCTTCGGAGACCACCCAATTTTTGCTTGTGGGCTGCATTTGGCCCGCAGCAGAAACACGATGAGATCCTGTCTAATCTTACTTACTCAGGATTGTAAAGAAGCTTAACAATGCATTGCAGTAGCAAGTAAAACATGTTGATAAGAAGCAAAGATTATAGTTTAACCAGCATTTCACAAGTTTATACAATTGTATGCATGAATAGGGTCCCCTGCATCTGAACAATTATCTAGAGCCAGGCCCTACAGCTTGGAACCCACGTTTCCACCCTTCGAGCGGACCTTGCTGGCTGTTACGGTCTAACTTGGCAATTAGAAATTTCAGAACTGACCCTTTGAAAATTCCTGGCTACAGCCCTGGTATATTTATTCAAAGGTTGAAAAACTAGATTAATACCAAAACACCAATATTACACGTGCATTTCACTAATACAAAGTAACCGAGAATATAGGTCAGAGACCGAAGACTTATCGATCGTTACGGGATCTCCCAAAACAGCGCTCTTACTCCATTGTGACACCTTGTGTCCCATCACTAATTAATTAATAACTCGCTAACTATACGACATAATTCATCCAAAATCAATAGGCTCCTGGTCCGACATATGATGAATGAATGAACATGCAAAATCTGGAGCAGATTCAATCTCGCTTTCGTGTGCATCTAACAGACAAACAGACAAATACCTATCAACATACTTACCGATCAAAATCGATAAGTAACAAGCCCATCTATTATTAAGAGACAGCAGACCATTATCGCACAGTCCAAAGTCCTCTGCCCTTGATTAAGGGAAACTGACACAGCTATATTTATAAGTGTTTATTCAGCAAACTATTTGCATAATATAATATTATCCTAATTGAGATAAGTTGGATAGTCAACCCTGTATATACAAGAGATAAATTAAAATCAATTGAAAAATCATTTATATGAGCATTTGATATCAAATAGTCAGAAAAAAAAATACAAAATAATATATTCCATTTCAAAAACATAATAGACTATAATTGAAATACTGGTATATTTGAATTGTAACGGATACACACATGCAGACTTTAATAATGACATAACAATTGTCGCTATCTAGAATTACCGTATTTCCCAGCGAATAAGTCGCTTTTCTATACCCCATTTTTTTGCCTGATTTTGGGGGGGGGGTCGTCTTATTAGGCGAGTATGATAATTTTCATTTTTGTGGTGTCGCCATTAGGTAATGTTCTTTTATGGTGGACGCAATCGCGAGTTGAACACAAGTAGATTAAAATTTAAAGACAGTTTGAATTCCCATAGTTATTATGGATTGAATATTACGCTATAAGAAAACCTCATTATAGGCTATTTTAACCCCGACTTTACTACCCCGACTTATTGGCAGGTTATACGCAAAAACCCATTTTTTCAGGCTTGAAAACGGGCCTCGTCTTATTGACCGGGTAGACTTATTCGCCGAGAAATACGGTATTTCACATAAATTCGGCGGGACATATTAAACCGGCCCGCAAGTCCTGATTTGGGAACCACTGCTCTAAATAAACAGACCAAACTTAATGGACAAAAACGAGAGATAAGCTGACCCTGCTCTGATGCTTTCTCTAACTGACTTTTGAGTTACTGAGCCAAGTTAAATAAGAAGGTCAGTTCGAAATCACCAATAAAAATGTGTAATTTACAGTTTTATGAGGTCATAAAGTAGAGAATGTACACCACAGTATTTGCTCATAAAAGGATTATTGCATTAGAAGTAGGCTAGGCTATAAATTGACAAATAATAACTTCGCTTTTGTGGAATTTGGACTGGAATGGAATAAAAATATAGTTCAAATTTAGTTTCGTTAATTACTAGAGGGAGTTGAATGGGCAACAGGATAATGGGTACCATTAAAGCTAAAAATATTTACTTCAAGGATGGCAGGGTTACGGTTGCCATGGTTATTGATGAAGTAATATGTAGTATATTGTTAAACTGAAATATGAATAAGAATAACAATCTCATTCCACAAAATAGCAAGTACATTTGCTTACCACTCTAATACTGTCTCGTTCAAATATCATTGGCAATGGTTACAGACATATTCGAAGTAAGAAGTAAACAAGGATTTACAGCTCAATACATAATATTCTACTATCTATCCTAGCACAACATCCATCCATTCCAAGCACAAAATCATAAGAGGATAGGTAGCTAGTCCTACAGACAGGGCTGATGCCAGGGGGCGAGGGATTTGAGGGTCGAAACACCCTTTTTGAAATGTAAAAAAAAACATTTTTCTATACTCTTGAAAACCTACGTTTCCAGCAGGGCCCCACTAGCTGATACGGTCTAACTTGGCAATTCAAGATTTCAAACCCCCCCTTGAAAATTCCTGCCTACAGACCCTAACTGATAGCACACATTTTTCATTCAATATATTGCCAGATGGTATTGGTTTTGGTATTCATTCAATATATTGCCACCAATTCGGTTGGTTTAATTTGTGTACAAAGCAAACAGGGCTATCAATTATGGTTTCGCAAGGCTTCTGCATTTCTTTCCTGTTTGCTTTCCGTTTGGTGGATCTGTATGCGTATCATTCAAGGATGTTGTAGTAAGAATAAATATGATTCTGAGTGATTTCTGCATACTAACTAAATCCTGCACTGGTGGTAATGTATATGCATATAATGCAGGAATGATGAAGTGAAAATAAAAATGACTATTCTGCATGCTACAACAGTCATGTTGCAAAC